TGCAGATGTCCCATGTTGGCTCTAAGACCGAGGACTGAGCGATCACCTGACTGCTGATCACATGACTGCTGATGGCCTAGCTCTTGGTCTGCTCAGAGTGGAGAGCAGTCACTGGAGTTCCGGGATGGGGCAGGCAGCTGGATGGATCCTGACAATATTGTAGAGATATTTCCGATCCTGGAGTAGCTCTGGCTCCTCAGCTGACAGTGGGCAATAGGCGGCATAAGTTGGTTCTGGGTCACAGAAGAAGAAAAGTAGGTGTACCGCTAGGACTCACCAGAGAAGGATGACCAAGAAAGCTTTGACCATGCTTCTCCTTTAAATACAAGTTCCATATAAAGGGTGACCAGCGGCTGTGATTGTGACCCGTCTGTCTATGTGGCACCATGAGACTGGTACAAACACCCTCAAGAAACTTTCTTGCAACACCCCCATTATTCTCCTGATACAATAGGAGCTGAGGGAAGAGGTCACCATCCCTGATCCATGCAGGATCTGAGGACCAGCCTCTTGCAGATACCTCTATCTTCTACCTGGCAGGAGACATGTTTTCATCCTCCAGTGACAACCAATGGCAATCAGTTTCCTGTAGGTTGGTCAGTTCTGAAACGATATTATTGGTTGGTTTGGGTCAGTGCATATTGCATATTTTCGTTGCTCTTTGCTTTGTCCAGTAGACAATCCAGAATGCAGCAAACAGAATGGTCCATTGTACTCATACGTTTCTTCCAGGAACTCCATTTCACACCAACATTAGCAATCCCTTTAATTGGTCCTGAGCCGAGTGGTCCAGGCTGCAGTTACCATGACAGTGCCGAGAGGTGCATTCAAACATTCCGAGGTTTAATGATGAAGGTATTAATGAAGAACACAAAGACAACTTCCACCCAGCGCACTCATCCTATATATACACATCTTATGGACAAGGGAGGGTGGCAAGAGGGCGCCCATTCTAAGTAGACAAGCACAATAAAAAGGTGTCTCCCGGTCTCTGAGGTGATATCTATATAGGGCTGATGAGAGGGATCCTGCTCTCTAGAGACAAGAGCAAGAAGAGGGGGAAGTAAGTAAGGGGGCTCCTGGTCTTTGGAGAAGGAAATTATATCAGAATGGAAGGGTGATGAGAGGGCACTTGGTCTCTAGAGATGAAAGCGCAGAGGGAGGTATGGTGAGGGGGTGGCTGGTCTCTGGAGATGATGGTGATATGGTGGAATGGTGAGGGAGTGGCTGGTCTCTGGAGATGATGGTGGTAAGGAAGGGTGGTGAGGGGGTGGCTGGTCTCTGGAGATGATGGTGGTGAGGGCGTGGTAAGTCTCTGGAGATGATGGTGATATAGAGGGGTAGAGAAGGGGTGGCAGGCCTCTGGAGATCATGGTGATAAGGAGGGGTGGAGAAGGGGTGGCAGGCCTCTGGAAATGATGGTGATAAGGGGGGGTGGCCAGTCGCTGGGGATGATGGTAATATATAGAGGGGTGGTAGGCCTCTGGAGATGATGATGACGATAAGGAGGAGCGGTGAGGGGGTGGCCAATCGCTGGAGATGATGGTGATAAGGAGGGGTGGTGAGGGGGTGGTAGGTCACTGGAGATGATGGTGATAAGGAGGAGCGGTCAGTCTCTGGAGATGATGGTGATCAGGAGAGGTAGTGAGGGGGTGGCTGATCTCTGGAGATGATGGTGATAAGGAGATTTCGGTCTCTGGAGATACTGGTGGTAAGGAGAGGGGGGGGGGGGGGGACCAGTCTCTTGGAATGATGGTGATAAGGAGGAGTGGTCAGTCTCTGGAGATGATGGTGATCAGGAGGAGCGGTGAGGGGGTGGCCAATCGCTGGAGATGATGGTGATAAGGAGGGGTGGTGAGGGGGGTGGCAGGTCTCTGGAGATGATGGTGATATAGAGGGGTGGTGAGGAGTTGGCCAATCTCTGGAGGTGATGGTGGTAGGGAGGGGTGGTAGGTCTCTGGAGATGATGGTGATAAGGAGGGGTGTGAGGGGGTGACAGGTCTTTGGAGATGATGGTGATAGGAGGGGTGTGAGGGGGTCCGGTCTCTGGAGATACTGGTGGTAAGGAGAGGGGGGGGGGATGACCGGTCTCTTGGAATGATGGTGATGTGGTGAGGGGGTGGCCGGTCTCTGGAGATTATGGTGATATAGAGGGGTGGGGAAGGAGTGGCAGGTCGCTGGAGATGATGGTGATAAGGAGGAGTGGTCAGTCTCTGGAGATGATGGTGATCAGGAGAGGTAGTGAGGGGGTGGCTGATCTCTGGAGATGATGGTGATAAGGAGAGGTCGGTCTCTGGAGATACTGGTGGTAAGGAGAGGAGGGGGATGACCAGTCTCTTGGAATGATGGTGATAAGGAGCAGCGGTGAGGGAGTGACGAGTCTTTGGAGGTGATGGTGGTAGGGAGGGGTGGTGAAGGAGTGGCTGGTCTCTGGAGATACTGGTGGTAAGGAGAGGAGGGGGATGACCAGTCTCTTGGAATGATGGTGATAAGGAGCTGCTGCGGTGAGGGTATGGCCAGTCTTTGGAGGTGATGGTGGTAGGGAGGGGTGGTGATAGGTCTCTGGAGATGATGGTGATAAGGAGGGGCGGTGAAGGAGTGGCTGGTCTCTGGAGATGATGGTGGTAAGGGGAGGGGGGGGATGACCGGTCTCTGTAGATGATGGTGATAAGGAGAGGTGGTGAGGAGTTGGCTGATGTCTGGAGATGATGGTGATAAGGAGTGGCCAGTCTCTGCAGATGATGGTGATATAGAGGGGTGGTGAAGGAGTGGCCAGTCTCTGGAGATAATGGTGGTAAGGAGAGGGGGGATTACCAGTCTCTTGGAATGATGGTGATATAGAGGGGTGGTGAGGAGTTGGTCGGTCTCTGGAGATAATGGTGGTAAGGAGGGGTGGCAAAGGAGTGGCCAGTTTCTGGAGGTGATGGTGGTAAGGAGGTGTGGTGAAGGAGTGGCTGGGCTCTGGAGGTGATGGTGATAAAGAGGGGGGGGGGGGGGGGGATGACCAGTTTCTGGGAATGATGGTGATAATGAGGTGTGGGGGGGGGCGGTCTCTGGAGGTGTGGTGGGGGCACTTTCTCGTGGTGATGGTGGTAAGTAGAGGGGGGGGGGGGGGGATGACCAGTCTCTTGGAATGATGCTGATAAGGAGGGGGCGGTGGAGGGGGGCGGTCTCTGGAGGTGATGGTGGTAAGGAGAGGGAGATGATGGTGATAAGGTGGGTGGTAAGGGGGGGCAGTCTCTGGAGGTGATGGTGGTAGGGAGGTGGGGGGGGCGCTCTCTGGAGGTGATGGTGGTAAGGAGAAGGGGGGGGGGCGGGGATGACCAGTCTCTTGGAATGATGGTGATAATGAGGTGTGGTGAGGGGGGGCGGTCTCTGGAGATGATGGTGATAAGGTGGGGCGGTCTCTGGAGATGATGGTGATAAGGTGGGGCGGTCTCTGGAGATGAAGGTGATAAGGTGGGCTGGTGAGGGGGGGGGGGGGGTGGGCGGTCTCTGGAGATGATGGTGGTAAGGTGGGGTGGTGAGGGGGGGCGGTCTCTGGAGATGATGGTGATAAGGTGGGGTGGTGAGGGGGGGGTGGTCTCTGGAGATGAAGGTGATAAGGTGGGGCGGTCTCTGGAGATGAGGGGGGGGGGCGGTCTCTGGAGATGATGATGATAAGGTGGGGTGGTGAGGAGGGGGGGGGGGTGTGGTCTCTGGAGATGATGGTGATAAGGTGGGGTGGTGAGTGGGGGGGGGGGGGGGGTCTCTGGAGATGATGGTGATAAGGTGGGGTGGTGAGGGGGGGGGGGGGGTCTCTGGAGATGATGGTGGTAAGGTGGGTGATGTGATATCTAGTCTCTTCACAACATTTGATTGGACCTTCACTCTCCTGAGTGTCTCTATATCCCCTTCTCTGCTTCTCTCCAGATTGTTCTCCCACCGAGGTGGACCAAGATGGCGGCCCAGGACGGGAAGGTGATACTCAGGACAAGGCTGGGGCCTCTGGCCAGGGGAGTGAGAAGTGATAAGGGAACAGGTAATGGACGGGGTGGGGAGGGAAGTTCCTCTTTCGGAGGGTGATAAGGGATGTCTTCTGCTGGGAACAGGTTGGGTGTGTATTATATGGTGACATAGAAGGATGAAGACATAGGTCACATGTCATCCATTTCCTGTATTCTGATTGGTGTATCCACCCACATGAATCTCCCCTCCCCCTATTGTTCTGTGTCATCTCTCCAGCCAGTCCTTCATTCCTGATCACCTAGATGGGGTCACCATGGTCTTCCTCTCTGTATAAAGGGTCCCCAATTCATGTCACATGGTGTCCTGGGAGCTGGAAGCTCCACCCTGTATGAAACCTGTGTCCCCCAACCCCCATCTCTCAGCTGAGTGCACCGGGGACATGGGCATCGATGGCTCCTGGTCCAAGCCGGACCATTCATTATGGGGCCAAGGAGGTCCAGGGGCCGGCTACAAATAGTGCTCAGTGCGCCTGGCTGTCCCCTCCCCAGGATGATGTATTGTAGGCAGTTGATGCAGATTGGGGGGGGGGGGGGCTTTACCTGCTGCAACCCATAATATCAATCAAAGGGGCCCCAAGCTGCTGCCATGCCCGGGGCCCCACCCATAGAATCAGACAGCGGAGTCGGGGATCTCTGACATTCTTTATTGCAGGACATTTGCAGTCCTGTGTGCGGTTCTACGTCTAGGACGAGGTGCTCCCCCGTCATCTGGGGGGTCAGAAGCGGCAGTTGACTCTGGTGTGGAGATTGTCCGTGGTAACATGCTTTCCGTCTGTCCTCAGGAAATGGGAGGTGCTCCGAGTGTGTCCACCAATCAGCTGGAAGCAGGAACGGTGCATATCAAAAGCCCGCTACAGGAACGGGTGAGGGGAGGAAGGCGGGGCAACAGTGAAATCTACAGGGAAGACTGCTGAGATGCTCTGCAGGGCGGGCGGTGCCGGCTGTGAGGGGTCACATGACCGACCATTGCAGGACGGTGCCGGCGGTGAGGGGTCACATGACCGACCATTGCAGGACGGTGCTGTCCTTCCCGCCAACCGAGATCAGAGAACTGTCATTGTGCAGGAAGGAGACGCGGGTCACGTGACTGCTGTGTCCACTGTACCTGTGGCTGGGGGCCTGAACAAAGACAATGGAGGGAAGTGTCAGTGGGATCGGACCGGAACCAGAACATCGCCATCCCCAACCCCCCATAGTGACCGGAACATCACCCCCCCCCCCCCCCCCCCCCCCTACCATAGTGGCCGGAACATCATACCCCCCCACTACCATAGTGACCGGAACATCGTACCCCCCCACTACCATAGTGACCGGAACATCGTACACCCCCCCACCATAGTGACCGGAACATCATACCCCCCCCTCACTACGATAGTGACCAGGACATTGTAACCCCTCCCCCTCACAGTGACTAGAACATCGTAAGCCCCCCTAGTCACCAGGACCAATCATATCCCCCATAGTGACCAGGACCAATCCTATCCTGCACAGGAGTGAGATGATGGAGCATACCAATGGTACGGACATCAGATGTCTCCATCATACAGTACAGGACACAGGCATGGCATTCATACACAACGGTTTATAGACTCCCCCCCAAGGTGCCCCTCCAATGACCCCAACTCATTGGGCGAGTCCTCAGGTCATTGCTCGTGTCTATAGGTGATGGACCTCTTCCAGCTTCACTACTTTATTATTTTCCAGTGTATCTGGATCCGGGCGACCTAAGGGAGACCATGGGAGCCATACCTGGACCCCACACCATGGGGGCGGCCTGTAGTGTAGCTTCAGGTGCTGGATCCTGCGTGGGGCGCTCACCTTGACACTTTGGGTAACGTGTTCAGTGAGCTGTAGGGTGCTCTACAGGTCCAGGGCTGTGGTCCTTCACTATGGAACCTAGTCCCTGAAGGCCCCTTGGGGGGTATGACCACCATGGTGGGCAAAGCCTGGAATTTCTATACAGTCCAGCGTTGTAGACCGGTAATATGGGGCCCCCCTTCATCTCTCACCGTCATCTTTCTCACCGTCATTGAAACGGACTAAAGCAGAATTCTCTGCACACAGTCTCCCCAAATGATGGCCTTAGTTTAGCCATCTACGTACCCCCCTCCCGTTATACTCCCGCCATCTACGTACCCCCCCCCTGTTATACTCCCGCCATCTATGTACCCCCCTCCCGTTATACTCCCGCCATCTACGTACCCCCTCCCGTTATACTCCCGCCATCTACGTACCCCCCTCCCGTTATACTCCCGCCATCTACGTACCCCCCCCCCGTTATACTCCCGCCATCTACGTACCCCCCTCCCGTTATACTCCCGCCATCTACGTACCCCCCTCCCGTTATACTCCCGCCATCTACGTACCCCCCTCCCGTTATACTCCCGCCATCTACGTACCCCCCTCCCGTTATACTCCCGCCATCTACGTACCCCCCTCCCGTTATACTCCCGCCATCTACGTACCCCCCCCCGTTATACTCCCGCCATCTACGTACCCCCCTCCCGTTATACTCCCGCCATCTACGTACCCCCTCCCGTTATACTCCCGCCATCTACGTACCCCCCTCCCGTTATACTCCCGCCATCTACGTACCCCCCTCCCGTTATACTCCCGCCATCTACGTACCCCCCTCCCATTATACTCCCGCCATCTACGTACCCCCCTCCCGTTATACTCCCGCCATCTACGTACCCCCCTCCCGTTATACTCCCATTTTGCACCGAGTTGGACCCTAGAGGATGCTGACGGTGAGGGAGAACGTTGAAGCAACCTGGAGGAAGTGGAAGAACATTCGTCTCCTCCACACGGTCAATTAATTGGCACGGAGCGGGGTGTCACAGCCAAGGCACGGAGCGGGGTGTCACAGCCAAGGCACGGAGCGGGGTGTCACAGCCAAGGCACGGAGCGGGGTGTCACAGCCAAGGCACGGAGCGGGGGGTCACAGCCAAGGCACGGAGCAGGAGACATTTTGGACAAAAATTTGATTTTTTAAATTTTTTGGGGACGTGTTTAAATAGCAAAAAGTCCAAAATATTGTTTTTTTTCCCTCAAAATTGTCAGTTTTTTTTGTTTATAGAAAATATAAAAACCGCACAGGGGGTCAAATCCCACCGAAGGAAAACGCAATTCATGGGGAAAAAAGAACATAAATGTCATTTGGGTGCCGCGTTGCATGACCGCGCAATTGTCAGTCCACGTAACACACAAACAATGGCCTCACTGTTAGGAGAGGGGAGATGTCTTCTGCTGAAGCGTTCATCTTCCTGAGCTGCAGACATCCCAGACAATCGTTTACTAACTAGAGTCCTCTACCTCCTCAAATGACTGCCAAGGACAGCCAAGTCCCTACACCACCTCTGTTCCTAGGCAGTTCCTTCAGCCAGCTCCACCACAGCCCCGGTTCAAGGGAAACCTGTCAAAGGTGCCAGAGCCCAACAGAGGTATCTGTCCCAGCATGGAATCCCTCAGCAAATTCCGTTCCCAGATGTCCTCCTGTCTCCAGAACTTGGAGGACAGACTAGCTACATAACCTCCTGAAGGAACCACCCCTCTCATATCTGGTAGGAAAGATCCAAAAGTCTATGTCATCTGGATCCAACTCTAGATATATCTCGGGAAAAGATCCTTCTTCCAAAATAAAGTTCCCTTTTTTACTGCCAAAACCCAACACCAAAGGATAGTACCCACCAGAGCAAAGTGTTGCCTCCTTCAGGACCGTGTCCTTTGCCCACTCACGGAGAAACTATTCGATCTCTATCAACATTCATTAGGAAGGCTCCTTCCCTGCAGTCAACCATACCTCTATCCTGTCTAGGTGGATCAACACTTCACCTATGACAGAGGGAAAATCCTTCCACTCCTACAATTGGCCTGGGGAGCAGTCACCTTATCCTTGGTGGTCCAAAAAGACCAGGGACAAGGGGGAGGCCAAGCTGCCCACATCATCTTTAAGCTCAGAGCTGTCAGGATATCCTCAAAAACACTGGATTGGGACAAGGCCACACAGTGGTATGTGCCAACCACCAAGAGGACCACAAGGAGCTTAGCTGTCTTGAATGGCACAGACCAGTTTTCCCTCACGGATAGATAGTCGCTGTCCGTCGATTTCTTCGATCCCTATCCCAGGTGTGGACTATTGACAGGTGGACTATCACAGCCACCACCATCTGGTCCAAGGGCATGTTCTCTTCATCCAGCTGTGTACATTCTAATATGCCAAATATCTGGATGTGGACATCCTAGTCCCAAAAACCACCTTCCTTTCTGTATTCCCGGGACCCATAAATCCTCTACCTATGCCTTTGGATACTCCAGTTATCCCCGGGTCCCTTTCAGGCCATATATGCCTCTACCAAGCATGCTATCTCACCCACCCCACTAAGAAAAAACGGTTGTATTTTAGAAGGAGACGAAGGTTCTTCTGATACAAACCAGAAGGCTACGGCTCTGGCATAGATATGTTCAGCCTTCGTACAGAAGATCCCTGGCTTCTTCCAACAGGCACAACCATTTTCTGAACACCATTTATTCCACCCTGGTCCACGGCCTCCGACTTACAGGCAGAACTGGTGAAAGCCGGGTCTCAAAGTACAGAGGGGTCCCTTAGTATGTTAATGGCAAATGCAGCAAAGGCCACATCTAAGCCGATTGGAATCCTACGTGAAGATTGTATTACACCTGCAGGAAGAGCAGTCTATGGGATCCAGTGAGATTAAGAGATGATCCTCGTCTGACCCTCGTAAAAACAAGTCTGACCAGAATCTGGCTCTCCTCACCCTAACAGGGAAAGTTCCAGTCATGTTTATCCCTTCACAAGCCCTCGAGCTTCACCTGTCACAGAAAACATGCATTCAGATTTCTCTTCTATCAGCCCCCCTTTGTAGCACACTGTGCACCTCACGGGACAGAACCCCATTCTGTCTGCAGGACAGAGACCTCCCCTCACCCATCCAAGATATTCCCTTAGAATCTCTTACCAATATCGTCATCTTTTATGGAAATTAAAACATATATTGAGCGTATCGCAGTACTAACGGCTCCATCCTACTAGAAGAGCCCTCTCCTCCAACCACATGGTATGCCCAAGACCATCCTTCCCTCAATTCACAACCATGTGATACACACAAGACCATCCTTCCTACTAGAAGAGCCCTCTCTTGTACCTCCAACCACATGACATGCCCAAGACCATCCTTCCTACTAGAAGAGCCCTCTCTCGTACCTCCAACCACATGGTATGCCCAAGACCATCCATCCTACTAGAAGAGCCTCCTCTCGTACCTCCAACCACATGGTATGCTCAAGACCATCCATCCTACTAGAAGAGCCCCCTCTCGTACCTCCAACCACATGGTATGCTCAAGACCATCCATCCTACTAGAAGAGCCCTTCCTCATACTCCACAACCACATGGTATGCCCAAGACCATCCTTCCTACTAGAAGAGCCCTCTCTCGTACCTCCAACCACACGGTATGCCCAAGACCATCCATCCTACTAGAAGAGCCCTCTCTCGTACCTCCAACCACATGGTATGCCCAAGACCATCCTTCCTGCTAGAAGAGCCCTCTCTCGTACCTCCAACCACATGGTATGCCCAAGACCATCCATCCTACTAGAAGAGCCCCCTCTCGTACCTCCAACCACATGGTATGCTCAAGACCATCCATCCTACTAGAAGAGCCCCCTCTCGTACCTCCAACCACTTGACATGACCAAGACCATCCATCCTACTAGAAGAGCGCTCTCTCGTACCTCCAACCACATGGTATGCCCAAGGCCATTCTTCCTACTAGAAGAGCCCTCTCTCAAACCTCCAACCACATGGTATGCCCAAGACCATCCTTCCTACTAGAAGAGCGCTCTCTCGTACCTCCAACCACATGACATGACCAAGACCATTCTTCCTACTAGAAGAGCCCTCTCTCGTACCTCCAACCACATGGTATGCCCAAGACCATCCATCCTACTAGAAGAGCCCCCTCTCGTACCTCCAACCACTTGACATGACCAAGACCATCCATCCTACTAGAAGAGCTCTCTCTCGTACCTCCAACCACTTGACATGACCAAGACCATCCATCCTAGTAGAAGAGCGCTCTCTCTCGTACCTCCAACCACATGGTATGCCCAAGACCATTCTTCCTACTAGAAGAGCCCTCTCTCGTACCTCCAACCACATGACATGACCAAGACCATCCATCCTACTAGAAGAGCCCCCTCTCGTACCTCCAACCACTTGACATGACCAAGACCATCCTTCCTACTAGAAGAGCGCTCTCTCGTACCTCCAACCACATGGTATTACCAAGACCATCCATCCTACTAGAAGAGCCCCCTCTCGTACCTCCAACCACTTGACATGACCAAGACCATCCTTCCTACTAGAAGAGCGCTCTCTCGTACCTCCAAACAGATGGTATGCCCAAGACCATCCTTCCTGCTAGAAGAGCCCTCTCTCGTACCTCCAACCACATGGTATGCCCAAGACCATCCATCCTACTAGAAGAGCCCCCTCTCGTACCTCCAACCACTTGACATGACCAAGACCATCCTTCCTACTAGAAGAGAGCGCTCTCTCGTACCTCCAACCACATGGTATTACCAAGACCATCCATCCTACTAGAAGAGCCCTCTCTCGTACCTCCAACCACATGGTATGCCCAAGACCATCCTTCCTACTAGAAGAGCCCTCTCTCGTACCTCCAACCACATGGTATGACCAAGACCATCCATCCTACTAGAAGAGCGCTCTCTCGTACCTCCAACCACATGACATGACCAAGACCATCCATCCTACTAGAAGAGCCCTCTCTCGTACCTCCAACCCCATGACATGACCAAGACCAGCCTTCCCTTAACATAGGTTTCAGCATCCACCTCTGACCAACATTCCTGCCATCTGTGTGCGGCTCCTAAGCATCTGCAGGAAGTCTCCCTTCATGATCCGGACGTTGTCACACCCAGCAGACCTATCCTCACATAGGATGAGCGCCCCTTACCCCGGGACCACACAGATATCCTCACATATGATGAGCGCCTCTTAGCCCAGGACCACACAGACCTATCCACACATATGATGAGCGCCCCTTACCCCGGGACCACACAGATATCCTCATATATGATGAGCGCCCCTTACCCTGGGAACCAGACAGATATCCTCACATATGATGAGCGCCCCTTACCCCGGGACCACACAGACCTATCCTCACATATGATGAGCGCCCCTTACCCTGGGAACCACACAGACCTATCCTCACATATGATGAGCGCCCCTTACCCTGGGAACCACACAGACCTATCCTCACATATGATGAGCGCCCCTTACCCTGGGAACCACACAGACCTATCCTCACATATGATGAGCGCCCCTTACCCTGGGAACCACACAGACCTATCCTCACATATGATGAGCGCCCCTTACCCCGGGACCACACAGATATCCTCACATATGATGAGCGCCCCTTACCCTGGGAACCACACAGGGGTAGCTGAACAAACGCACTCCTCCAAAGTCATCTCCTGTGGCCACCAGCTTGCGGTCATGTGACTTGACGACGGCATTCAGATCTGTCCCATCTGCTCCGTCCGGCCAGACCCCTGGAGAGAAGACACGTGTTAGTATGAAGGGAGAGGGGCGTATAATGCGGGTTCCGGTCATTCTGTGGGGTGCATCGTGGATCTGGCAGCACCGAGCGTTAATCCTGAGTCTTGGTGGGATGTGAGAGGGAACAGAGAAACCAGCAGCAATGCCATCAATGGGGGCAGATTATCACCCGCTGCTGGCCGGGAGGTCTGTCCTCCTCAGAACCTGCCATGGAGAGGCAAAGCTCATCACCATCCGTCTTCAGGACCTCTATTGTAGGCTCAGCCCGGCCTTGTACATCCATGGAAGAGCCACCTCCCCACTGACACCCCAAAATCATCACTGTGTCCCCCCATCTCCCCACTGACACCCCAAAATTATCACTGTGTCCCCCCCATATCCCCACTGACACTCCAAATCTATCACCATCCGTCTTCAGGACCTCCATTGTAGGCTCAGCCCACAGCCTTGTACATCCTTGGAAGAGCCACCACCTCCCCCACTGACACCCCAAAATCATCACTGTGTCCCCCCCATCTCCCCACTGACACCCCAAAATTATCACTGTGTCCCCCCCATATCCCCACTGACACCCCAAATCTATCACCATCCGTTTTCAGGACCTCCATTGTAGGCTCAGCCCAGCCTTGTACATCCTTGGAAGAGCCACCACCTCCCCACTGACACCCCAAAATCATCACTGTGTCCCCCCATCTCCCCACTGACACCCCAAGATTATCACCATCAGTCTTCAGGACCTCACTGGTCTCCATTGTAGGCTCAGCCCGCCCTTGTACATCCATGGAAGAGCTGCCACCTCCCCACTGACACCCTAAAATCATCACTTTCTGTGTCTTACCATCTCCCCACTGACACCCCAAAATGATCACCTTCTGTGTCCCACCATCTCCCCACTGACACCCCCCAAAATTATCATCTCCTGTGTCCCACCACCTCTGCACTGATACCCCAAAATTATCTCCTTCTGTGTCCTACCACCTTCCCACTGACACCCCCAAAATTATCTCCTTCTGTGTCCCACCACCTCCGCATTGATACCCCAAAATCATCACCTTTAGTGTCAGTGACCGCACTCAGCAAAAGTGTACAAATCTTTGGCAACGTCTGGATTTCTGCACAGATGACTCATAAAACATGATCTGACCTTCACTGAATCAACACCATACACCCTTCATATCACCGTGTCTTCAAATATCGAATGAACACTCAAAATACCGATGGAAATAGTAAGTGAACCTCCAGGATAATGACACGGCAAGTCAGGTGATCTGTCCCTTCAGGTGAGGATTGGACCCGCCCCTCCCAAATCAAACTGAAAACAGAATCACAACTTGGGGTACCCGAGCCTGATACCCATCTCATTGTAGGACATCTATATCCCGGGTCTGACATTCATCTCATTGTAGATCTATATCCCGGGTCTGACACCCATCTCATTGTAGGACATCTATATCCCGAGTCTGATATCCATCTCATTGTAGGACATCTATATCCCGAGTCTGACACCCATCTCATTGTAGGACATCTATATCCCGGGTCTGATACCATCTCATTGTAGATCTATATCCCGGGTCTGACATTCATCTCATTGTAGGACATCTATATCCCAGGTCTGACATCCATCTCATTGTAGGACATCTATATCCCGGGTCTGACATCCATCTCATTGTAGGACATCTGTATCCCGAGTCTGACACCCATCTCATTGTAGGACATCTATATCCCGGGTCTGATACCATCTCATTGTAGATCTATATCCCGGGTCTGACATTCATCTCATTGTAGGACATCTATATCCCAGGTCTGACATCCATCTCATTGTAGGACATCTATATCCCGGGTCTGACATCCATCTCATTGTAGGACATCTATATCCCGAGTCTGACACCCATCTCATTGTAGGACATCTATATCCCGGGTCTGATACCCATCTCATTGTAGGACATCTATATCCCGGGTCTGATACCATCTCATTGTAGATCTATATCCCGGGTCTGACATTCATCTCATTGTAGGACATCTATATCCCGAGTCTGACACCCATCTCATTGTAGGACATCTATATATCCGGGTCTGACATCCATCTCATTGTAGGACATCTATATCCCGAGTCTGACACCCATCTCATTGTAGGACATCTATATCCCGGGTCTGACATCCATCTCATTGTAGGACATCTATATCCCGGGTCTGACACCCATCTCATTGTAGGACATCTATATCCCGAGTCTGACACCCATCTCATTGTAGGACATCTATATCCCGGGTCTGATACCCATCTCATTGTAGGACATCTATATCCCGGGTCTGATACCCATCTCATTGTAGGACATCTATATCCCAGGTCTGACATCCATCTCATTGTAGGACATCTGTATCCCGGGTCTGATATCCATCTCATTGTAGGACATCTATATCCCGAGTCTGACATTCATCTCATTGTAGGACATCTATATCCCAGGTCTGATACCCATCTCATTGTAGGACATCTATATCCCGGGTCTGACACCCATCTCATTGTAGGACATCTATAGCCCGGGTCTGACACCCATCTCATTGTAGGACATCTATATCCCGGGTCTGACATCCATCTCATTGTAGGACATCTGTATCCCGGGTCTGATACCCATCTCATTGTAGGACATCTGTATCCCGGGTGTGATACCATCTCATTGCAAGACATCTATATCCCGGGTCTGATACCCATCTCATTGTAGGACATCTGTATCCCGGGTCTGATACCCATCTCATTGTAGGACATCTGTATCCCGGGTCTGACATCCATCTCATTGTAGGACATCTGTATCCCGGGTCTGACATCCATCTCATTGTAGGACATCTGTATCCCGGGTCTGATACCCATCTCATTGTAGGACATCTATATCCCGGGTCTGATACCCATCTCATTGTAGGACATCTATATCCCGGGTGTGACACCCATCTCATTGTAGGACATCTATATCCCGGGTGTGACACCCATCTCATTGTAGGACATCTATATCCCGGGTCTGATATCCATCTCATTGTAGGATATCGATATCCCGGGTCTGATAATCCATCTCATTGTAGGACATCTGTATCCCGGGTCTGATATCCATCTCATTGTAGGACATCTATATCCCGGGTCTGACATCCATCTCATTGTAGGACATCTATATCCCGGGTCTGACATCCATCTCATTGTAGGACATCTATATCCAGAGTCTGACACCCATCTCATTGTAGGATATCTATATCCCGGTTCTGATAATCCATCTCATTGTAGGACATCTATATCCCAGGTCTGATATCCATCTCATTGAAGGACATCTATATCCCGGGTCTGACACCCATCTCATTGAAGGACATCTATATCCCGGGTCTGACACCAATCTCATTGCAGGACATCTATATCCCGGGTCTGACACCCATCTCATTGTAGGACATCTATATCCCGGGTCTGATATCCATCTCATTGTAGGACATCTATATCCCGGGTCTGATATCCATCTCATTGTAGGACATCTGTATCCCGGGTCTGATACCCATCTCATTGTAGATCTATATCCCGGGTCTGACACCCATCTCATTGTAGGACATCTATGTCCCGGGTCTGACACCCATCTCATTGTAGGACATCTATATCCCGGGTCTGATATCCATCTCATTGTAGGACATCTGTATCCCGGGTCTGATACCCATCTCATTGTAGGACATCTATATCCCGGGTCTGATACCCATCTCATTGTAGGACATCTGTATCCCGAGTCTGACACCCATCTCATTGTAGATCTATATCCCGAGCCTGATATCCATCTCATTGTAGGACATCTGTATCCCGGGTCTGACACCCATCTCATTGTAGGACGTCTATATCCCGGGTCTGATACCATCTCATTGTAGGACATCTATATCCCGGGTCTGAAATCCATCTCATTGTAGGACATCTATATCCCGGGTCTGACACACATCTCATTGTAGGATATCTATATCCCGGGTCTGATAATCCATCTCATTGTAGGACATCTATATCCCGGGTCTGACATCCATCTCATTGTAGGACATCTATATCCCGGGTCTGACATCCATCTCATTGTAGGACATCTATATCCCGAGTCGGACACCCATCTCATTGTAGGACATCTATATCCCGAGTCTGACATCCATCTCATTGTAGGACATCTATATCCCAGGTCTGATATCCATCTCATTGCAGGACATCTATATCCCGGGTCTGACACCCATCTCATTGCAGGACATCTATATCCCGGGTCTGATACCATCTCATTGTAGGACATCTGTATCCCGGGTCTGACACCCATCTCATTGCAGGACATCTATATCCCGGGTCTGACACCCATCTCATTGTAGGACATCTATATCCCGGGTCTGATATCCATCTCATTGTAGGACATCTATATCCCGGGTCGGATATATCCATCTCATTGTAGGACATCTGTATCCCGGTCTGATACCCATCTCATTGTAGGACGTCTATATCCCGGGTCTGATACCATCTCATTGTAGGACATCTATATCCCGGGTCTGATATCCATCTCATTGTAGGACATCTATATCCCGAGTCGGACACCCATCTCATTGTAGGACATCTATATCCCGAGTCGGACATCCATCTCATTGCAGGACATCTATATCCCGGGTCGGACACCCATCTCATTGCAGGACATCTATATCCCGGGTCTGACACCCATCTCATTGCAGGACATCTATATCCCGGGTCTGACACCCATCTCATTGTAGGACATCTATATCCCGGGTCTGATATCCATCTCATTGTAGGACATCTATATCCCGGGTCTGATATCCATCTCATTGTAGGACATCTGTATCCCGGGTCTGATACCCATCTCATTGTAGATCTATATCCCGGGTCTGACACCCATCTCATTGTAGGACATCTATGTCCGGGTCTGACACCCATCTCATTGTAGGACATCTATATCCCAGGTCTGATATCCATCTCATTGTATGACATCTGTATCCCGGGTCTGATACCCATCTCATTGTAGGACATCTATATCCCGGTCTGATATCCATCTCATTGTAGGACATCTATATCCCGGGTCTGATACCATCTCATTGTAGGACATCTATATCCCGGGTCTGATACCATCTCATTGAAGGACATCTATATCCCGGGTCTGATTTCCATCTCATTGTATGACATCTGTATCCCGGGTCTGATACCCATCTCATTGCAGGACATCTATATCCCGAGTCTGATACCATCTCATTGTAGGACATCTATATCTCTGGTCTGATATCCATCTCATTGAAGGACATCTATATCCCGGGTCTGATACCCATCTCATTGTAGGACATCTATGTCCCGGGTCTGGTCTGATTTCCATCTCATTGTAGGACATCTATATCCCCGGGTCCGATACCCATCTCATTGTAGGACATCTATATCCCGAGTCTGATATCCATCTCATTGTAGGACATCTCTATATCCCGGGTCTGATACCATCTCATTGTAGATCTATATCCCGGGTCTGACATCCATCTCATTGTAGGACATCTGTATCCCGGGTCTGATACCCATCTCATTGTAGGACATCTGTATCCCGGGTCTGACATCCATCTCATTGTAGGACATCTGTATCCCGGGTCTGATACCCATCTCATTGTAGGACATCTATATCCCGGGTCTGATACCCATCTCATTGTAGGACATCTATATCCCGGGTCTGACATCCATCTCATTGTAGGACATCTGTATCCCGGGTCTGATACCCATCTCATTGTAGGACATCTATATCCGGGGTCTGATACCCATCTCATTGTAGGACATCTATATCCCGGGTCTGACATTCATCTCATTGTAGATCTATATCCCGGGTCTGATACCCATCTCATTGTAGGACATCTATGTCCCGGGTCTGATTTCCATCTCATTGTAGGACATCTATATCCCGGGTCCGATACCCATCTCATTGTAGGACATCTATATCCCGAGTCTGATATCCATCTCATTGTAGGACATCTATATCCCGGGTCTGATACCATCTCATTGTAGATCTATATCCCGGGTCTGACATCCATCTCATTGTAGGACATCTGTATCCCGGGTCTGATACCCATCTCATTGTAGGACATCTGTATCCCGGGTCTGACATCCATCTCATTGTAGGACATCTGTATCCCGGGTCTGATACCCATCTCATTGTAGGACATCTATATCCCGGGTCTGACATCCATCTCATTGTAGGACATCTATATCCCGGGTCTGACATTCATCTCATTGTAGATCTATATCCCGGGTCTGATACCATCTCATTGTAGATCTATATCCCGGGTCTGACATTCATCTCATTGTAGGACATCTATATCCCAGGTCTGACATCCATCTCATTGTAGGACATCTATATCCCGGGTCTGACATCCATCTCATTGTAGGACATCTATATCACGAGTCTGACACCCATCTCATTGTAGGACATCTATATCCCGGGTCTGATACCCATCTCATTGTAGGACATCTATATCCCGGGTCTGATACCATCTCATTGTTGTAGATCTATATCCCGGGTCTGACATTCATCTCATTGTAGGACATCTATATCCCAGGTCTGACATCCATCTCATTGTAGGACATCTATATCCCGGGTCTGACATCCATCTCATTGTAGGACATCTATATCCCGAGTCTGACACCCATCTCATTGTAGGACATCTATATCCCGGGTCTGATACCCATCTCATTGTAGGACATCTATATCCCGGGTCTGATACCCATCTCATTGTAGGACATCTATATCCCAGGTCTGACATCCATCTCATTGTAGGACATCTATATCCCAGGTCTGATACCCATCTCATTGTAGGACATCTATATCCCAGGTCCGACATCCATCTCATTGTAGGACATCTGTATCCCGGGTCTGATACCCATCTCATTGTAGGACATCTATATCCCGGGTCTGACACCCATCTCATTGTAGGACATCTATAGCCCGGGTCTGACACCCATCTCATTGTAGGACATCTATATCCCGGGTCTGACATCCATCTCATTGTAGGACATCTGTATCCCGGGTCTGATACCCATCTCATTGTAGATCTATATCCCGGGTCTGACACCCATCTCATTGTAGGACATCTATGTCCCGGGTCTGACACCCATCTCATTGTAGGACATCTATATCCCGGGTCTGATATCCATCTCATTGTAGGACATCTGTATCCCGGGTCTGACACCCATCTCATTGTAGATCTATATCCCGAGTCTGATATCCATCTCATTGTAGGACATCTATATCCCGGGTCTGATACCCATCTCATTGTAGGACATCTGTATCCCGGGTCTGACACCCATCTCATTGTAGATCTATATCCCGAGCCTGATATCCATCTCATTGTAGGACATCTATATCCCGGTCTGATATCCATCTCATTGTAGGACATCTGTATCCCGGGTCTGATACCCATCTCATTGTAGATCTATATCCCGGGTCTGACACCCATCTCATTGTAGGACATCTATGTCCCGGGTCTGACACCCATCTCATTGTAGGACATCTATATCCCAGGTCTGATATCCATCTCATTGTAGGACATCTGTATCCCGGGTCTGATACCCATCTCATTGTAGGACATCTATATCCCGGGTCTGATATCCATCTCATTGTAGGACATCTATATCCCGGGTCTGATACCATCTCATTGTAGGACATCTATATCCCGGGTCTGATACCATCTCATTGAAGGACATCTATATCCCGGGTCTGATACCCATCTCATTGTAGGACATCTATGTCCCGGGTCTGATTTCCATCTCATTGTAGGACATCTATATCCCGAGTCCGATACCCATCTCATTGTAGGACATCTATATCCCGAGTCTGATATCCATCTCATTGTAGGACATCTATATCCCGGGTCTGATACCATCTCATTGTAGATCTATATCCCGGGTCTGATATCCATCTCATTGTAGGACATCTATATCCCGGGTCTGACACCCATCTCATTGTAGGACATCTATATCCCGGGTCTGACACCCATCTCATTGTAGGACATCTATATCCCGGGTCTGACATCCATCTCATTGTAGGACATCTGTATCCCGGGTCTGATACCCATCTCATTGTAGGACATCTATATCCCGGGTCTGATATCCATCTCATTGTAGGACATCTATATCCCGGGTCTGATACCATCTCATTGTAGGACATCTATATCCCGGGTCTGATACCATCTCATTGAAGGACATCTATATCCCGGGTCTGATACCCATCTCATTGTAGGACATCTATATCCCGGGTCTGATACCCATCTCATTGTAGGACATCTATATCTCTGGTCTGATACCCATCTCATTGTAGGACATCTATATCCCGGGTCTGACATCCATCTCATTGTAGGACATCTATATCCCGGGTCTGATATCCATCTCATTGTAGGACATCTGTATCCCGGGTCTGATATCCATCTCATTGTAGGACATCATATCCCGGGTCTGACACCCATCTCATTGTAGGACATCTATATCCCGGGTCTGATATCCATCTCATTGTAGGACATCTATATCCCAAGTCTGATATCCATCTCATTGTAGGACATCTAAATCCCGGGTCTGACACCCATCTCATTGTAGGACATCTATATCCCGGGTCTGATACCCATCTCATTGTAGGACATCTATATCCCGGGTCTGACACCCATCTCATTGTAGGACATCTATATCCCGGGTCTGACACCCATCTCATTGTAGGACATCTATATCCCGGGTCTGATATCCATCTCATTGTAGATCTATATCCCGGGTCTGATACCCATCTCATTGTAGGACATCTGTATCCCACCCAGTCAGGGGAAGGGTGCACTATCAGATCAGTGGAGGGTTCCCCATCTAATCGGGGGATAGGCACACCATCCAGTAAGTTGGATGGCACATGGGTACTCTTTTTAAGCATTTGTTCAGCTCACATTTAGAACACAAATATACAGAAATCCAGATTTTTTTTTAGGGTTCACAAAGTTCTGCAGCAGGACCCTCCCCCTCACTGGGACCATGAAGTCTATAGTGCCACCAGCCTTGACCTACATTCCAGTCCAGACCTGACCTGTACTTACCCAGCACATGGAAGCTGAGGGTACAGGAAGCGTTCTCCCACTCCACGTTCCTCACACTCTCCGCACTAACAATCTGCTTCGATGAATCCGGATCCCCTGAGCAGAGAAGGAAACCAACGTCATCTACTTCACCTATTACTGTACAGGATTGATATCGCAATATAAACACAGACAGTACAATTACAACACGAGGGGGTCAGGAGGGCCCCAATCCTCAGAGCTTACAATCTAACAGGGAGGGGCAACTGGTACAAAAGGTAATAACTGCGGGGGAGGAGCCGATGAAGAAGTTCACTTGTTAGTATGAGGCCGGAAAGGCTTCCCTAAAGAGATGAGTTTTCAGGGATCTCCTAAAAGGTGGACAGAGTAGGAGATAGCTGAACATATTGGGGTAGGGAGTTCCAGAGGATGGGAGAGGCTCTGGAGGTGTGCATGGGAGGAGGAGACAAGGAGGCCAGTGAGCAGGAGGTTTTGGGAGAAGTGGAGAAGAAGGTTTGGGTGATATTGTTAGGGAGGCCGAGGTTGTGGATGGCTTTGTAAATTGTTCGTATTTTGAATTTAATTCTTTGGGCAATCGGAAGCCAGGGGAGGGATTGGCAGAGAGGGGTGGAGGACACTGAATGGAGGCCAGGGGAGGGATTGGCAGAGAGGGGTGGAGGACACTGAATGGAGGCCAGGGGAGGGATTGGCAGAGAGGGGTGGAGGACACTGAATGGAGGCCAGTGGAGGGATTGGCAGAGAGGGGTGGAGGACACTGAATGGAGGCCAGTGGAGGGATTGGCAGAGAGGGGTGGAGGACACTGAATGGAGGCCAGGGGAGGGATTGGCAGAGAGGGGTGGAGGACACTGAATGGAGGCCAGGGGAGGGATTGGCAGAGAGGGGTGGAGGACACTGAATGGAGGCCAGTGGAGGGATTGGCAGAGAGGGGTGGAGGACACTGAATGGAGGCCAGGGGAGGGATTGGCAGAGAGGGGTGGAGGACACTGAATGGAGGCCAGGGGAGGGATTGGCAGAGAGGGGTGGAGGACACTGAATGGAGGCCAGTGGAGGGATTGGCAGAGGGGGGTGGAGGACACTGAGTGGAGGCCAGTGGAGGGATTGGCAGAGGGGGGTGGAGGACACTGAGTGGAGGCTAGTGGGAGGGATTGGCAGAGGGGGGTGGAGGACACTGAGTGGAGGCCAGTAAAGGGATTGGCAGAGGGGGGTGGAGGACAATGAATGGAGGCCAGTGGAGGGATTGGCAGAGAGGGGTGGAGGACACTGAATGGAGGCCAGTGGAGGGATTGGCAGAGAGGGGTGGAGGACACTGAGTGGAGGCCAGTGGAGGGATTGGCAGAGGGGGGTGGAGGACACTGAATGGAGGCCAGTGGAGGGATTGGCAGAGAGGGGTGGAGGACACTGAGTGGAGGCCAGTGGAGGGATTGGCAGAGGGGGGGGGGAGGACACTGAGTGGAGGCCAGTGGAGGGATTGGCAGAGGGGGGTGGAGGACAATGAATGGAGGCCAGTGGAGGGATTGGCAGAGAGGGGGTGGAGGACATGGAACGGGTGGTGGTAAGGTAGATCATCCTGGAAGCAGCATTCATGATGGACTAAAGAGGGAATAGCCTATAGAGAGATCGGCCAATGAGAAGAGAGTTGCAATCACCAAGGTGAGACATAATGAGGCGTTCCGGGGTTTCATTAGGTAACTAGGGACACATGCTGGAGATGTTACGGAGGTGAAGTCTAGAAGATTTGGAGCTGAAAGGTCAGAGTCCAGGATTACACCCCAGGTACCCTGGTGTGAGTACATGAACGGGAGGGAATATCATCTGCTCAGTTTTAGGGATATTTCAGGTGGTGCGACCTCCATGCTGATATGTCAGCAAGTTAGTAATGTGAGAGGAGACTGAAGGGGCGAGGTGTGGAGGAGACTGAAGGGGCGAGGTGAGGAGGAGACTGAAGGGGCGAGGTGTGGGAGGAGACTGAAGGGGCGAGGTGAGGAGGAGACTGAAGGGGCGAGGTGTGGAGGAGACTGAAGGGGCGAGGTGTGGAGGAGACTGAAGGGGCGAGGTGTGGAGGAGACTGAAGGGGCGAGGTGTGGAGGAGACTGAAGGGGCGAGGTGTGGGAGGAGACTGAAGGGGCGAGGTGTGGAGGAGACTGAAGGGGCGAGGTGTGGAGGAGACTGAAGGGGCGAGGTGAGGAGGAGACTGAAGGGGCGAGGTGAGGAGGAGACTGAAGGGGCGAGGGGGAGGAGGAGACTGAAGGGGCGAGGTGAGGAGGAGACTGAAGGGGCGAGGTGAGGAGGAGACTGAAGGGGCGAGGTGAGGAGGAGACTGAAGGGGCGAGGTGAGGAGGAGACTGAAGGGGTGAGGTGTGGAGGAGACTGAAGGGGCTGAAGGGGCGAGGTGAGGAGGAGACTGAAGGGGCGAGGGTGAGGAGGAGACTGAAGGGGCGGGTGAGGTGAGGAGAGGACTGAAGGGGCGAGGTGAGGAGGAGAGTGAAGGGGCGAGGTGAGGAGGAGACTGAAGGGGCGAGGTGTGGAGGAGACTGAAGGGGCGAGGTGAGGAGTAGAGAGATAGATTTGGGTGTCATCGGCGTACAGTTGCTATTGGAAGCTGTGGGGAGGTTATCGAGTGACCAAGGGAGGAGGTGTAGATAGAAGAGAAGGGGTTCAAGAACGAAGCCTTGGGGAACCCCCGACATAAAGAGGACATGGAGAGGAGGAGACAGTTAGAGGTAACATTGAAGGAGCGCTGTAATAGGAGGAGAACCAGGAGAGAGAGTTGGCAGAGTCTGGGGGGCCAAGGGAGTGCAGTTTATTGAGGAGGAGGGGGCAGTGGCCATGGTCAACAGTAGCAGTAGGAGTACGGGGGCAGAAGTGGGGCCATTGGTTGGGAGGAGTACGGTACGGGGCAGTGGCCATTGGTTAGGGGGTACGGGCAGTGGCCATTGGTTGGGGCGATGTACGGGCAGTGGCCATTGGTTGGGGAGGAGTACGGGGCAGTGGCCATTGGTTGGGGCGAGTACGGGGCAGTGGCCATTGGTTGGGGCGAGTACGGGGCAGTGGCCATTGGTTGGGGCGAGTACGGGGCAGTGGCCATTGGTTGGGGCGAGTACGGGGGGCAGTGGCCATTGGTTGGGGCGAGTACGGGGCAGTGGCCATTGGTTGGGGCGAGTACGGGGCAGTGGCCATTGGTTGGGGCGAGTACGGGGGCAGTGGCCCATTGGTTGGGGCGAGTACGGGGCAGTGGCCATTGGTTGGGGCGAGTACGGGGCAGCAGTGGCCATTGGTTGGGGCGAGTACGGGGCAGTGGCCATTGGTTGGGGCGAGTACGGGGGCAGTGGCCATTGGTGGGGGCGAGTACGGGGCAGTGGCCATTGGTTGGGGCGAGTACGGGGCAGTGGCCATTGGTTGGGGCGAGTACGGGGCAGTGGCCATTGGTTGGGGCGAGTACGGGCAGTGGCCATTGGTTGGGGCGAGTACGGGGCAGTGGCCATTGGTTGGGGCGAGTACGGGGCAGTGGCATTGGTTGGGGCGAGTACGGGGCAGTGGCCATTGGTTGGGGCGAGTACGGGGCAGTGGGGCCATTGGTTGGGGCGAGTACGGGGCAGTGGCCATTGGTTGGGGCGAGTACGGGGCAGTGGCCATTGGTTTGGGGCGAGTACGGGGTGGCCATTGTTGGGGCGAGTACGGGGCAGTGGTTGGTTGGGGCGAGTACGGGGCAGTGGCCATTGGTTGGCATTGGCCGAGTACGGGGCAGTGGCCATTGGTTGGGGCGAGTACGGGGGCAGTGGCCATTGGTTGGGGCGAGTACGGGCAGTGGCCATTGGTTGGGGCGAGTACGGGGCAGTGGCCATTGGTTGGGCTAGTGGGGCGAGTACGGGGCAGTGGCCATTGGTTGGGGCGAGTACGGGGCAGTGGCCATTGGTTGGGGCGAGTACGGGGCAGTGGCCATTGGTTGGGCCATAAACGGCAGTGGCCATTGGTTGGGGCGAGTACGGGGCAGTGGCCATTGGTTGGGGCGAGTACGGGGCAGTGGCCATTGGTTGGGGGCGAGTACGGGGCAGTGGCCATTGGTTGGGGCGAGTACGGGGCAGTGGCCATTGGTTGGGGCGAGTACGGGGTGGCCAGTTGGCCGGGGGGGCAGTGGCCAATTGGTTGGGCGAGTACGGGGCGAGGCAGAGCCCATGGGTTGGGCAGTGGGCCCATTGGTTGGGGCGAGTACGGGGCAGTGGCCATTGGTTGGGGCGAGTACGGGCAGAGGCCATTGGTTGGGGCGAGTACGGGGTGGCCATTGTTTGGGGCGAGTACGGGGCAGAGCCATTGGTTGGGGCGAGTACGGGGCAGAGCCCATTGGTTGGGGCGAGTACGGGGCAGAGCCCATTGGTTGGGGCGAGTAGTACGGGGCAGAGGCCATTGGTTGGGGCGAGTACGGGGCAGTGGCCATTGGTTGGGGCGAGTACGGGGCAGGCAGGCCATTTGGTTGGGGGCGAGTACGGGGCATTGGTTGGGCGAGTACGGGGCAGAGCCCATTGGTTGGGGGGCGAGTACGGGGCAGAGCCCATTGGTTGGGCGAGTACGGGCAGAGCCCATTGGTTGGGGCGAGTACGGGGCAGAGCCCATTGTTTGGGCGAGTACGGCAGAGTACGGGGCAGAGCCCATTGGTTGGTGGTGCGAGTACGGGGGCGAGCCCATTGGTTGGGGCGAGTACGGGGCAGAGCCCATTGGTTGGGGCGAGTACGGGCAGAGCCCATTGGTTGGGGCGAGTACGGGGCAGAGCCCATTGGTTGGGGCGAGTACGGGGCAGAGCCCATTGGTTGGGGCGGAGTACGGGGCAGAGCCCATTGGTTGGGGCGAGTACGGGGCAGAGCCCATTGGTTTGGGGCGAGTACGGGGCAGAGCCCATTGGTTGGGGCGAGTACGGGGCAGAGCCCATTGGTTGGGGCGAGTACGGGGCAGAGCCCATTGGTTGGGGCGAGTACGGGGCAGAGCCCATTGGTTGGGGCGAGTACGGGGCAGAGCCCATTGGTTGGGGCGAGTACGGGGCAGAGCCCATTGGTTGGGGCGAGTACGGGCAGAGCCCATTGGTTGGGGCGAGTACGGGGCAGAGCCCATTGGTTGGGGCGAGTACGGGGCAGAGCCCATTGGTTGGGGCGAGTACGGGGCAGAGCCCATTGGTTGGGGCGAGTACGGGGCAGAGCCCATTGGTTGGTTTGGGGCGTAGTAGTACGGGGCAGAGCCCATTGGTTTGGGGGGCGAGTACGGGGCAGAGCCCATTGGTTGGGGCGAGTACGGGGCCGAGTAGTAACGGGCAGAGCCCATTGGTTGGGCGAGTACGGGGCAGAGCCCATTGGTTGGGGGCGAGTACGGGGCAGAGCCCATTGGTTGGGGCGAGTACGGGGCAGAGCCCATTGGTTGGGGCGAGTACGGGGCAGAGCCCATTGGTTGGGGCGAGTACGGGCAGAGCCCATTGTTTGGGGCGAGTACGGGGCAGAGCCCATTGGTTGGGGCGAGTACGGGGCAGAGCCCATTGGTTGGGGTGAGAACGGGGCAGAGCCCATTCGTTGGGGTGAGTACGGGGCAGAGCCCATTGGTTGGGGTGAGTACGGGGCAGAGCCCATTGGTTGGGGGTGAGAACGGGGCAGAGCCCATGGTTGGGGTGAGTAGTACGGGCAGAGCCCATTGGTTTGGGGCGAGTACGGGGCAGAGCCCATTGGTTGGGGTGAGTACGGGGCAGAGCCCATTGGTTGGGGTGAGTACGGGGCAGAGCCCATTGGTTGGGGTGAGAACGGAGCAGAGCCCATTGGTTTCAGAAGTTAGTAAATCATTAGTGGGGGCGGTTTCTGTGGCGTGTTGGGTGTGGAAAGGCGGACTTTTAGGGGACAAGAAGGTTGGGGTCACAGAAGAAGGGGGGGCCGTAGTAGCTGTGAGGATCGGCATCCAGGGGCACTTGGTCAGTGTGAGCATCTGAGAGAAGAAAATGGTTCAGCCATTGTTCTCTGCTCTATAGAGGATCTTAGGGGGGATCCATGGGGTGATCCATGGGGGATCTATGGGGGGATCTATGGGGGATCCATAGGTAATTTTTTTGAATTTTGTTTATTGTCCATGGGGGACGCTCTCAGATGGGACTCACAGTACAGGACATTCGTAGTCCTCCACTGTTGGTCATGAAGCTGGAACTGTCTGAGGCCCAATCCAGGTGAGTGATGTAGCTGGAGTGACCCTGGCAATACAAAACACCTGGAGTCTGTATATGACCCAAATATCTCCCCGATGTACGATATAACCGCCCCCCCCCCCCCGTACACAGTCCATATACCCCCCCCCCCCCAACGCCCGTACACAGACCATATACCCCCCCCCCGTACACAGTCCATATACCCCCCCCCCCCTACACAGTACATATACCCCCCCCCCCCGTACACAGACCATATAACCCCCCCCCGTACACAGTCCATATACCCCCCCCCCCCCCCCCGTACACAGTACATATACCCCCCCCCCCCCGTATCCCGTACACAGACCATATACCCCCCCCCCGTACACAGTCCATATACCCCCCCCCCCGTACACAGTACATATACCCCCCCCCCCGTACACAGTACATATACCCCCCCCCCCGTACACAGACCATATACCCCCCCCCCGTACACAGTACATATACCCCCCCCCGTACACAGTACATATACCCCCTCCCCCCCTGTACACAGTCCATATACCCCCCTCCCCCCCTGTACACAGTCCATATACCCCCCCCCCCCCGTACACAGTACATATACTCCCCCCCCCCCCTGTACACAGTCCATATACCCCCCCCCCCGTACACAGTCCATATACCCCCCCCCCCGTACACAGACCATATACCCCCCCCCGTACACAGTCCCATATACCCCCCCCCCCCCCCAGTACACAGTACATATACCCCCCCCCCCCGTACACAGACCATATACCCCCCCCCCGTACACAGTACATATACCCCCCCCCCGTACACAGTACATATACCCCCTCCCCCCCTGTACACAGTCCATATACCCCCTCCCCCCCTGTACACAGTCCATATACCCCCCCCCCCCCCCGTACACAGTACATATACCCCCTCCCTCCCCCCCCTGTACACAGTCCATATACCCCCCCCCCCCGTAACACAGTCCATATACCCCCCCCGTTACACAGTCCATATACCCCCCCCCTGTACACAGTCCATATACCCCCCCCTGTACACAGTCCATATACCCCCCCCTGTACACAGTCCATATACCCCCCCCGTTACACAGTCCATATACTCCCCCCCCCCTGTACACAGTCCATATACTCCCCCCCCCGTACACAGTCCATATACCCCCCCGTTACACAGTCCATATACCCCCCCCCCTGTACACAGTCCATATACCCCCCCCTGTACACAGTCCATATACCCCCCCCCGTGTACACAGTCCATATACCCCCCCCCCCCCCGTTACACAGTCCATATACTCCCCCCCCCCCCCCCCTGTACACAGTCCATATACTCCCCCCCCCCCGTACACAGTCCATATACCCCCCCCCGTTACACAGTCTATATACCCCCCCCGTTACACAGTCCATATACCCCCCCCGTTACACAGTCTATATACCCCCCCCCGTTACACAGTCCATATACCCCCCCCGTACACAGTCCATATTCCCCCCGTACACAGTCCACACCCCCCCCGTACACAGTCCATACCCCCCCCCCATCTCGTTGCACACTCACCCATACACTTGCCCACACGCCTGTACTCTCGCCCTTCCTCTGCCACCTCATAGAGATAAGTGAAGTTGTCATGTGACCCAACGGCCAAATACTGCCCATCTGTGACAGAGACAAGACCATGAGCACCACGGAGCGGTCCATACACGGGGAGCGGGCCACGCACGGGGAGCGGGCCACGCACGGGGAGCAGACTATACACGGGGAGCAGTCCACGCATGGGGAGCAGTCTATACACGGGGAGCAGTCCACGCATGGGGAGCAGTCCATACACGGGGAGCAGTCCATACACGGGAGCAGTCCATACACGGGGAGCAGTCCATACACGGGGAGCAGTCCATACACGGGGAGCAGTCTACACACGGGAGCAGTCCATACACGGGGAGCAGTCCATACACGGGGAGCAGTCCATACACGGGGAGCAGTCCATACACGGGGAGCAGTCCATACACGGGAGCAGTCCATACACGGGGAGCAGTCCATACACGGGGAGCAGTCCATACACGGGGAGCGTGTGACGGGAAACAACAGGAGGACCTTACCGGGACTGTAGGAGATACAACTGATCTGCTCTCCAGCATCGGAGATACTGGTCACAATGACATGGGACTGAGAGTCCAGCACCAGGAACCTGCAAGAGAGAGGACTGGAACATTATACAGACCCATATAGAGACCATCACGTGTCATGGAGGACAGAGGGGGACCATCACGTGTCATGGAGGACAGAGGGGGACCATCACGTGTCATGGAAGACAGAGGGGGACCATCACGTGTCATGGAGGACAGAGGAGGACCATCACTGATCATGGAGGACAGAGGGGGACCATCACGTGTCATGGAGGACAGAGCGGGACCATCACGTGTCATGGAGGACAGAGCGGGACCATCACGTGTCATGGAGGACAGAGGGGGACCATCACGTGTCATGGAGGACAGAGGAGGACCATCACTGATCATGGAGTACAGAGGAGGACCATCCCGTGTCATGGAGCACAGTGGAGGACCATCACCAAGGTGGACTGACAACTCATGGGGCCCCCGGCAATAGGGGATCATGGGGCCCCTGTGTCCTTGCCCAAACTCAAAAAAGCCTATGAAAAAAGGTACCAGGGGCAACTCATGGGGCCCCCTACTGACCCCCCGGGCAGTGCCTGAGTTTCCAAATGGTCAGTCCGCCCCTGACCATCACTGATCATAGAGTACAGAGGAGGACCATCACTGATCATAGAGTACAGAGGAGGACCATCACTGATCATAGAGTACAGAGGAGGACCATCACGTGTCATGGAGTACAGAGGAGGACCATCACTCATCATGGAGTACAGAGGAGGACCATCACGTGTCATGGAGTACAGAGGAGGAACATCACGTGTCATGGAGTACAGAGGAGGACCATCACTGATCATGGAGTACAGAGGAGGACCATCACTTATGATGGAGTACAGAGGAGGACCATCACGTGTCATGGAATACAGAAGAGGCCCATCACGTGTCATGGAGAACTGAGGAGGCCCATCACTGATCATGGAGTACAGAGGAGGACCATCACGTGTCATGGAGTACAGAGGAGGACCATCACGTGTCATGGAGGACAGAGGAGGACCATCACTGATCATGGAGTACAGAGGAGGACCATCATCATGTGTGTGGTACATGCGGTTCCTTACCTTCCAGCGCAGGTCCCCACAGCTACCACACTGCCGGACGGGTGGAAGGCGGCCGCTCTTGCAGCGTCCTGTGAGGAACACGCAGAGAACATGTTATTATCATCCTTCCAACATGCTAAGAATGGGCGGGAACCGCTATTGGCTCCATCAGACAATCTGTAATTTCATTGGATGGCCACTTGGGGCCTCAGACGGCACTGAGCTCTGGAGGACATGACGTGCCCAAACGTGACCCCCCCAAACAGGAGTACTGCCCCCCATACAGGAGTACTGCCCCCCATACCAGGACCATGTCCCAGATACCCCCCCCCCCATACAGGAGTACTGCCCCCCATACCAGGACCATGTCCTAAATACTCCCTCCCCACACAGGAGTAATGCCCCCCATACGGAAGTACTGCCCCCCATACGGAAGTACTGCCCCCCATACCAGGACCATGTCCCAGATACCCTCCCCCCATATAGGAGTACTGCCCCCCATACCAGGACCATGTCCTAAATACTCCCCCCCCACACAGGAGTACTGCCCCCCATACAGGAGTACTGCCCCCCATACCAGGACCATGTCCCAGATACCCCCCCCCCCATACAGGAGTACTGCCCCCCATACCAGGACCATGTCCTAAATACTCCCTCCCCCCACACAGGAGTAATGCCCCCCATACGGAAGTACTGCCCCCCCATAACGGAAGTACTGCCCCCCATACGGAAGTACTGCCCCCCACACAGGAGTACTGCCCCCCATACCAGGACCATGTCCCAGATACCCTCCCCCCCATATAGGAGTACTGCCCCCCATACCAGGACCATGTCCTAAATACTCCCCCCCCCCACAGGAGTACTGCCCCCCATACGGAAGTACTGCCCCCCATACGGAAGTACTGCCCCCCATACCAGGACCATGTCCCAGATACCCTCCCCCCATACAGGATGTACTGCCCCCCATACCAGGACCATGTCCTAAATACTCCCCCCCCCCCCCCCCCCACACACAGGAGTAACTGCCCCCCATACAGGAGTACTGCCCCCATACCAGGACCATGTCCTAAATACTCCCCCCCCCCCACACAGGAGTACTGCCCCCCATACAGAAGTACTGCCCCCCATACAGGAGTACTGCCCCCATACCAGGACCATGTCCCAGATACCCCCCCCCATATAGGAGTACTGTCCCCATACCAGGAACATGTCCTAGACCAGGGGTGGGCAAACTTTTTGACTTGAGGGCCGCAATGGGTTCATATATGGACCCGGTACCCGACCAAGAGTAGATGAATGATGTGTATGTGTCATCCATAGTAAGCATAGTAATTCATCCCCCATATAGTAATTCATCCCCCATATAGTAATTCATCCCCCATATAGTAATTCATCCCCCCATATAGTAATTCATCCCCCCATATAGTAATTCATCCCCCCTATATAGTAATTCATCCCCCATATAGTAATTCATCCCCCCTATAGTAATTCATCCCCCATATAGTAATTCATCCCCATATAGTAATTCATCCCCCATAGTAATTCATCCCCCATAGTAATTCATCCCCCCATATAGTAATTCATCCCCCATAGTAATTCATCCCCCATATAGTAATTCATCCCCCATAGTAATTCATCCCCCCATAGTAATTCATCCCCCATATAGTAATTCATCCCCCATAGTAATTCATCCCCCCATATAGTAATTCATCCCCCATATAGTAATTCATCCCCCATTTAGTAATTCATCCCCCATATAGTAAATCACCCCCCATAGTAATTCATCCCCCATATAGTAATTCATCCCCCATAGTAATTCATCCCCCATATAGTTAATTCATCCCCCATATAGTAATTCATCCCCCATAGTAATTCATCCCCCATATAGTAATTCATCCCCCCTATAGTAATTCATCCCCCCTATAGTAATTCATCCCCCCATATAGTAATTCATCCCCCATAGTAAAATTCATCCCCCATATAGTAATTCATCCCCCATATAGTAATTCATCCCCCATATAGTAATTCATCCCCCTATAGTAATTCATCCCCCATATAGTAATTCATCCCCCATAGTAATTCATCCCCCATAGTAATTCATCCCCCATATAGTAATTCATCCCCCTATAGTAATTCATCCCCCATATAGTAATTCATCCCCCCATATAGTAATTCATCCCCCCTATAGTAATTCATCCCCCTATAGTAATTCATCCCCCATAGTAATTTCATCCCCCATATAGTAATTCATCCCCCTATAGTAATTCATCCCCCATAGTAATTCATCCCCCATAGTAATTCATCCCCCATAATAGTAATTCATCCCCCATATAGTAATTCATCCCCCATAAAGTAATTCATCCCCCATAGTAATTCATCCCCCATATAGTAATTCATCCCCCATAGTAATTCATCCCCCATATAGTAATTCATCCCCCTATAGTAATTCATCCCCCATATAAGTAATTCATCCCCCCTATAGTAATTCATCCCCCATATAGTAATAATTTCCCCCATATAGTAATTCATCCCCCATATAGTAATTCATCCCCCCTATAGTAATTCATCCCCCATAGTAATTCATCCCCCATATAGTAATTCATCCCCCATAGTAATTCATCCCCCATATAGTAATTCATCCCCCATAGTAATTCATCCCCCCTATAGTAATTCATCCCCCATATAGTAATAATTTCCCCCATATAGTAATTCATCCCCCCATATAGTAATTCATCCCCCATAGTAATTCATCCCCCATATAGTAATTCATCCCCCTATAGTAATTCATCCCCCCCATATAGTAATTCATCCCCCCTATAGTAATTCATCCCCCATATAGTAATAATTTTCCCCCCATATAGTAATTCATCCCCCATATAGTAATTCATCCCCCCTATAGTAATTCATCCCCCATAGTAAATTCATCCCCCATATAGTAATTCATCCCCCATAGTAATTCATCCCCCATATAGTAATTCATCCCCCATAGTAATTCATCCCCCCTATAGTAATTCATCCCCCATATAGTAATTCATCCCCCATATAGTAATTCATCCCCCATATAGTAATTCATCCCCCCTATAGTAATTCATCCCCCATATAGTAATTCATCCACCATATAGTAATTCATCCCCCCCCCCTATAGTAATTCATCCCCCATATAGTAATTCATCCCCCATATAGTAATTCATCCCCCATAGTAATTCATCCCCCATAGTAATTCATCCCCCTATAGTAATTCATCCCCCATATAGTAATTCATCCCCCATATAGTAATTCATCCCCCATATAGTAATTCATCCCCCATAATAGTAATTCATCCCCCATAGTAATTCATCCCCCCATATAGTAATTCATCCCCCATATAGTAATTCATCCCCCATATAGTAATTCATCCCCCATAGTAATTCATCCCCCATATAGTAATTCATCCCCCATAGTAATTCATCCCCCATATAGTAATTCATCCCCCATATTAAGTCCCCAAGTCCCCCCTGTGTCAATTCACTTACCTTTGCTCCGCGCGTTCCTCTCGCCGTTCCGGTGTAGCATGAAAATCTGTCTCCTATGAGATCTGTCCCCCTCGACGTATCTGCGCATGTGCCAGTTTCAGGCATTAGCAGCCGATCGGCGATCTCCGGCACATGCGCAGATACGTCGAGGGGACAGATCCTCATAGGAGACAGATTTCATGCTACACCGGTCTTCAGGGCGGACTGTGAGAGGAGCCCAGCGGGAGCCTAGCTGGCCGGATTAAAAGGTCCGCCGGGCCGTAGTTTGCCCATTGCTGTCCTATACACCCCCCCCCCACTCACAGGGGTACTGCCCCCCATACCAGGACCATGTCCCAGATACCCCCCCCCCCTATACAGGAGTACTGCCCCCATAACAGGACCATGTCCTAGACACCCCCCCCCACACAGGAGTACTGCCCCCCATACCAGGACCATGTCCCAGATCCCCCCCCCCCCCCGATATGGGAGTACTTCCCCCCATACCAGGACCATGTCCTAGATACCCCCCCCCCATACAGGAGTACTGCCCCCCATACCAGGACCATGTCCCAGATACCCCCCCCATACAGGAGTACTGCCCCCCATACCAGGACCATGTCCCAGATACGCCCCCCCCATATAGGAGTACTGCCCCCCATACCAGGACCATGTCCCAGATACCCCCCCCCCGATATGGGAGTACTTCCCCCCCATACCAGGACCATGTCCTAGACACACCCCCCCCCCCCCACACTGGAGTACTGCCCCCCATACCAGGACCATGTCCTAGACACCCCCCCCCCACACAGGAGTACTGCCCCCCATACCAGGACCATGTCCTAGACACCGCCCCTCCCACACAGGGGTACTGCCCCCCATACCAGGACCATGTCCTAGACACCCCCCCCCACACAGGAGTACTGCCCCCCATACCAGGACCAAGTCCTAGATACCCCCCCCCCCCGATATAGGAGTACTTCCCCTTACCAGGACCATGTCCCAGATACCCCCCCCCCCCCCGATATAGGAGTACTTCCCCCTTACCAGGACCATGTCCCAGATACCCCCCCCCCCCCCGATATAGGAGTACTTCCCCCATACCAGGACCATGTCCCAGATCCCCCCCCCCCCCCCTATACAGGAGTACTGCCCCCCATACCAGGACCATGTCCCAGATACCCCCCCCCCCCCCATACAGGAGTACTGCCCCCCATACCAGGACCATGTCCCAGATACACCCCCCCCATACAGGAGTACTGCCCCCCATACCAGGACCATGTCCCAGATACGCCCCCCCCATATAGGAGTACTGCCCCCCATACCAGGACCATGTCCCAGATACACCCCCACCATATAGGAGTACTGCCCCCCATACCAGGACCATGTCCCAGATACACCCCCCCCCATACAGGAGTACTGCCCCCCATACCAGGACCATGTCCCAGATACACCCCCCATATAGGAGTACTGCCCCCCATACCAGGACCATGTCCCAGATACACCCCCCCCCATACAGGAGTACTGCCCCCCATACCAGGACCATGTCCCAGATACACCCCCCCCCATACAGGAGTACTGCCCCCCGTACAAGAGTACTGCCCCCCATACCAGGACCATGTCCCAGATACCCCCCCCCATATAGGAGTACTGCCCCCCATACCAGGACCATGGCCCAGATACACCCCCCGTCCCCCATACAGGAGTACTGCCCCCCCATACCAGGACCATGTCCCAGATACACCCCCCCCCATACAGGAGTACTGCCCCCCATACCAGGACCATGTCCCAGATACACCCCCCCCCCATAAAGGAGTACTGCCCCCATACCAGGACTATGTCCTAGACACCCACCCCTCCCCATACCAGGACCATGTCCCAGACACCACCCCCCCCCATACCAGGACCATGTCCTTGATCCCCCCCCCCCCCCCCACAGGAGTACTGCCCCCATAGCAGGACCATGTCCTAGATACCACCCCCCCCCCCCCACACAGGAGTACTGCCCCCATAGCAGGACCATGTCCTAGATACCACCCCCCCCCTCCCACACAGGAGTACTGCCCCCATACCAGGACCATGTCCCAGATACCCCCCCCCCCCCATATAGGAGTACTGCCCTCATACCAGGACCATGTCCTAGATACTCTCCCCATATAGGAGTACTGCCCCCATACCAGGACCATATCCTAGACACCACCCCCCCCATACCAGGACCATGTCCCAGACACCACCCCCCCCATACCAGGACCATGTCCCAGACACCACCCCCCCATACCAGGACCATGTCCCAGACACCACCCCCCCATACCAGGACCATGTCCCAGACACACCACCACCCCCCCATACCAGGACCATGTCCTAGACATCACCCCTCCCATACCAGGACCATGTCCCAGACATCACCCCTCCCATACCAGGACCATGTCCCAGACACACCCACCCCCCCATGCCAGGACCATGTCCTAGACACCACCCCTCCCATACCAGGACCATGTCCCAGACACCACCCCCCCCATGCCAGGACCATGTCCCAGACATCACCCCTCCCATACCAGGACCATGTCCCAGACATCACCCCTCCCATACCAGGACCATGTCCTAGACATCACCCCTCCCATACCAGGACCATGTCCCAGAAACCACCCCCCCCATACCAGGACCATGTCCCAGACATTACCCCCCCATACCAGGACCATGTCCTAGACATCACCCCCCCCCCATACCAGGACCATGTCCCAGACATCACCCCTCCCATACCAGGACCATGTCCCAGACACCACCCCCCCATGCCAGGACCATGTCCCAGACACCACCCCCCCATGCCAGGACCATGTCCCAGACACACCACCCCCCCCATACCAGGACCATGTCCCAGACACCACCCCCCCATACCAGGACCATGTCCTAGACACCACCCCCCCCCCCATACCAGGACCATGTCCTAGACACCACCCCCCACACAGGAGTACTGCTCCATGCTGGGATTGGTCAGCAGATTCTGCCCCTCCATGCTCCATTGGACAGGGTCAAGGTTAGCTCTCGCAGAGTATTGGAGCAGATCAGAGATTTACGGCCACCACTGGCCACAGACAACAGGAAGAAGTACATCCATACTAAATACAGACTACCCCCCAGGTCCGTACACATTCTCCTCCAGTCCTTAGGGTCCCGATTCTGGGGTCACACCTCCAGTGTGGTGCTCCAGACTGGTTGATGCTCTTTGCTGTTCCAGAGATGAACCAGCTTGTCATGGCCACAGGTCAAGAAGAGATCGAGAGACGGATGGCAGCAAAGACCCCACAGTTCATCTGTGTGACCCTAAAAGAGAGTCGAGGAGAAGCTGATGGGTCAAGTCCCAGGAATGGTCAGTCCTCTCAATCATGGTACTACATGAGGAATAGTGTGTGTGGGCGCCATGATCCGACCAGTCTGAGGGTCCTAGAACATCTGATTGGCCAGTCCTCTCAATCATGGCACTACATGAGGAATAGAGTGTGGGCGCCATGATCCGACCAGTCTGAGGGTCCTAGAACATCTGATTGGCCAGTCCTCTCAATCATGGCACTACATGAGGAATAGTGTGTGTGGGGCGCCATGATCCGACCAGTCTGAGGGTCCTAGAACATCTGATTGGTCAGTCCTCTCAATCATGGCACTACATGAGGAATAGTGTGTGTGTGCCATGATCCGACCAGTCTGAGGGTCCTAGAACATCTGATTGGTCAGTCCTCTCAATCATGGCACTACATGAGGAATAGAGTGTGGGCGCCATGATCCGACCAGTCTGAGGGTCCTAGAACATCCGATTGGTCAGTCCTCTCAATCATGGCACTACATGAGGAATAGTGGGTGTGTGTGCCATGATCCGACCAGTCTGAGGGTCCTAGAACATCTGATTGGCCAGTCCTCTCAATCATGGCACTACATGAGGAATAGTGTGTGCGTGTGCCATGATCCGACCAGTCTGAGGGTCCTAGAACATCCGATTGGTCAGTCCTCTCAATCATGGCACTACATGAGGAATAGTGTGTGTGGGCGCCATGATCCGACCAGTCTGAGGGTCCTAGAACATCCGATTGGTCAGTCCTCTCAATCATGGCACTACATGAGGAATAGTGTGTGTGCCATGATCCGACCAGTCTGAGGGTCCTAGAACATCTGATTGGTCAGTCCTCTCAATCATGGCACTACATGAGGAATAGTGGGTGTGTGTGCCATGATCTGACCAGTCTGAGGGTCCTAGAACATCCGATTGGTCAGTCCTCTCAATCATGGCACTACATGAGGAATAGTGTGTGGGCGCCATGATCCGACTAGTCTGAGGGTCCTAGAACATCTGATTGGTCAGACACAATGTGGTCACTATCCAACGTCCAGCAATGTCCGATTGTCGTTTGGCAGATCATTCCGTAGAATCTCGTGTTGGGTGATGAGACGTTACCCAATGTATGGGGGCAGGCAGGGTGACAATTGTATGTAACTAGACCTGTCCTCATTCCACAGCCAATCACTCATTGCCGTCCAATAAACATGGCGGTGGTGAGGCCCAACACATACCCGAATTTCAGTCTAGAGGTATCAAAAGTTGGGTTGATTTCTGATTGGTTGTTCTTGGATATTGTTCCTCTGTAATGCACATGATACTCGGTGTCATATCGGATCCTTTTGTTTTCCATCGCGTGACTACACCGAGGTCACCTGAACACTTTAAATGGCCATTTTCTGAACCTCTATATAACGGTTCGATCAGAAAACGATTGTATGTCTGTGGCATACATCTACAGAGCACGCCAACACATGCATGTTTTTGGAAAAATTTGTTATCAGACCTTCTGACCTCCATCTCAGGTCTACAATCTGCCCATGTGTATGATCTGATGGTCTTCGTGATTGTGAGGTCCATCTCATATTTATGGTCCTCCCAGGTGTATGATCTGATGGTCTTTGTGATTGTGAGGTCCATCTCATATCTATGGTCCTCCCAGGTGTATGATCTGATGGTCTTCGTGATTGTGAGGTCCATCTCAGATCTATGGTCCTCCCAGGTGTATTATCTGGTGGTCTGAGGGATCGTGAGGTCCATCTCATGTCTATGGTCTGCCCAGGTGTATGATCTGGTGGTCTGAGGGATCGTGAGGGCCATCTAGGTCTATGGTCTGCCCAGGTGTATGATCTGGTGGTCTGAGGGATCGTGAGGGCCATCTAGGTCTATGGTCTTCCCAGGTGTATGATCTGGCCGTCTGAGGGATTGTGAGGTCCATCTCAGATCTATGGTCCTCCCAGGTGTATGATCTGGTGGTCTTAGTGATTGTGAGCTCCATCTCATGTCTATGGTCTGCCCAGGTGTATGATCTGGTGGTCTTAGTGATTGTGAGGTCCATCTCATGTCTATGGTCTGCCCAGGTGTATGATCTGGTGGTCTGAGGGGTCGTGAGGTCCATCTCATGTCTATGGTCCTCCCAGGTGTATGATCTGGTGGTCTGAGGGATCGTGAGGTCCATCTCAAATCTATGGTCTTCCCAGGTGTATGATCTGATGGTCTTCGTGATTGTGAGGTCCATCTCAGATCTACGGTCTTCCCAGGTGTATGATCTGGTGGTCTGAGGGATCGTGAGGTTCATCTCAGATCTATGGTCTTCCCAGGTGTATGATCTGATGGTCTTCGTGATTGTGAGGTCCATCTCATGTCTATGGTCTTCCCAGGTGTATGATCTGGTGGTCTTAGTGATTGTGAGCTCCATCTCATGTCTATGGTCTGCCCAGGTGTATGATCTGGCGGTATGTGGGATTGTGAGTTCCATATGAGGTCTACAGTGTGACCAGGTGTATGATCTGGTGGTCTAAGGGATTGTGAGGTCCATCCAGGTCTATGATCTTCCCAGGTGTATGATCTGGTGGTCTGAGGGATCGTGAGGTCCATCTCATGTCTATGGTCTTCCCAGGTGTATGATCTGGAGGTCCGAGGGATTGTGAGGTCCATCTCAGATCTATGGTCTGCCCAGGTGTATGATCTGGTGGTCTGAGGGATTGTGAGGTCCATCTCATGTCTATGGTCTTCCCAGGTGTATGATCTGGAGGTCCGAGGGATTGTGAGGTCCATCTCAGATCTATGATCTGGCGGTATGTGGGATTGTGAGTTCCATATCAGGTCTACAGTGTGACCAGGTGTATGATCTGGTGGTCTGAGGGATCGTGAGGTCCATCCAGGTCTATGGTTTGCCCAGGTGTATGATCTGGTTGTCTTAGTGATTGTGAGGTCCATCTCATGTCTATGGTCTGCCCAGGTGTATGATCTGGTGGTCTGAGGGATTGTGAGGTCCATCTCATGTCTATGGTCTTCCCAGGTGTATGATCTGGTGGTCTGAGGGATCGTGAGGTCCATCTCAGATCTATGGTCTGCCCAGGTGTATGAGCTGGTGGTCTGAGGGATCGTGAGGTCCATGCAGGTCTATGGTCTGCCCAGGTGTATGATCTGGTTGTCTTAGTGATTGTGAGGTCCATCTCATGTCTATGGTCTGCCCAGGTGTATGATCTGGTGGTCTGAGTGATTGTGAGGTCCATCTCAGATCTATGGTCTGCCCAGGTGTATGATCTGGTGGTCTGAGGGATTGTGAGGTCCCAGTCCCTCTTCTCAAGGTTGGGTTTCAGCCCTTCCCCAGATGGGTGATGGATTGTCAGTCTTTTTAGAGCACATATTACCTGTATCAGACAGTTCAGGCCGCTCTGCAGACTGCCGCTCATCACACAGTTCTTAGTGGTCCCCACATACAGCGTGTCCCCCCCGCGGCCCTCTGTGATGGTCCTTACCGGCCCGAAACACTCTGGAATCTGAAGTATGAAAGCACAGAGACTAATTATTTATATTGTTCTCGAAACCCAGACTCCCCACCCCCGTCCCACCGTACCCAGACTCCCCACCCCCATCCCAGACTCCCCACCCCTGTCCCACCGTACCCAGACTCCCCACCCCGTCCCACCGTACCCAGACTCCCCACCCCCGACTCCCCACCCCTGTCCCACCGTACCCAGACTCCCCACCCCCATCCCAGACTCACCACCCCCGTCCCAGACTCCCCACACCTGTCCCACCGTACCCAGACTCCCCACCCCCCGTCCCAGACTCCCCACCCCTGTCCCACCGTACCCAGACTCCCCACCCCCGACTCCCCACCCCTGTCCCACCGTACCCAGACTCCCCACCCCCATCCCAGACTCACCACCCCCCCGTCCCAGACTCCCCACACCTGTCCCACCGTACCCAGACCCCCACCCCCGTCCAGACTCCCCACTCCCACCCCTGTCCCACCGTACCCAGACTCCCCACCCCTGTCCCAGACTCCCCACCCCCCATCCCAGACTCCCCACCCCCATCCCAGACTCCCCACCCCCATCCCAGACTCCCCACCCCTGTCCCACCGTACCCAGACTCCCCACCCCCGTCCCAGACTCCCCACCCCCCCCAGTCCCAGACTCCCCACACCTGTCCCACCGTACCCAGACTCCCCACCCCCGTCCCAGACTCCCCACCCCTGTCCCACCGTACCCAGACTTCCCCACCCCTGTCCCAGACTCCCCCACCCCCATCCCACCGTACCCAGACTCCCCATCCCAGACTCCCCACACCTGTCCCACCGTACCCAGACTCCCCACCCCCATCCCAGACTTCCCACCCCTGTCCCACCATACCCAGACTCCCCACCCCCCCATCCCAGACTCCCCACCCCCATCCTACCGTACCCAGACTCCCCACCCCCCACCCCCATCCCAGACTCCCCACCCCCATCCTACCGTACCCAGACTCCCCACCCCCATCCCAGACTCCCCACCCCCCCCCCATCCTACCGTACCCAGTACCCAGACTCCCCCCCCATCCCAGACTCCCCACCCCCGTCCCACCGTACCCAGACTCCAGACTCCCCACCCCGTCCCACCGTACCCAGACTCCCCACCCCCGTCCCAGACTCCCCACCCCGTCCCCCACCGTACCCAGACTCCCCACCCCCCCCCGTCCCCACCGTACCCAGACTCCCCACCCCCGTCCCACCGTACCCAGACTCCCCACCCCCCCGTCCCACCGTACCCAGACTCCCCCCCCCCTGTCCCACCGTACCCAGACTCCCCCCTCCCTGTCCCACCGTACCCAGACTCCCCATCCCTGTCCCACCGTACCCAGACTCCCCCCCCCCTGTCCCACCGTACCCAGACCCCCCCCCCCTGTCCCACCGTACCCAGACCCCCCCCCCCCCCCCCCGTCCCACCGTACCCAGGCTCCCCACCCCTGTCCCACCGTACCCAGACCCCCCCCCCCCCGTACCCAGACCCCCCCCCCCGTCCCCACCGTACCCAGACTCCCCACCCCCCGTCCCAGCATACCCAGACTCCCCACCCCCGTCCCACCATACCCGGGTCTCCTGCACTTTCTTGTATTCGCGATCCCATAGAAAGACTCGGCCATCTTTGCCACCTCCAGAAAGTAGAGTGCCATCCCTGCATACACAGAGAGCAAAAATCCCGCCATCATGGGCGCCGCACACGGCATGAGAGATCCGGTGACTGCCTGCAAAAGACACACGTGTCAGCTCACCTTTCACATGACATTTGTCCCCCCCCCAACCATGTGACTTGTGTGTCCATCTGTCCTCTCTCCCTCCCTACCTACCCCCCCAGCCATGTGATTGGTGTCCATCTGTCCTCTCACTACCCCCCCCCCCCCCCCCCCACCATGTGATTGGTGTCCATCTGTCCTCACTCCCCCCCCCCCCCCCCCCCATGTGATTGGTGTCCATCTGTCCTCACTCCCCCCCCCCCCAGCCATGTGATTGGTGTCCATCTGTCCTCACTACCCCCCCCCCCCCCCCCCCCCCCCCAGCCATGTGATTGGTGTCCATCTGTCCTCACTCCGCCCCAAGCCATGTGATTGGTGTCCATCTGTCCTCACTCCCCCCCCCCAGCCATGTGATTGGTGTCCATCTGTCCTCACTCCCCCCCCAGCCATGTGATTGGTGTCCATCTGTCCTCACTCCCCCCCCAGCCATGTGATTGGTGTCCATCTGTCCTCACTCCCCCCCCAGCCATGTGATTGGTGTCCATCTGTCCTCACCTCCCCCCCCAGCCATGTGATTGGTGTCCATCTGTCCTCACTCCCCCCCTAGCCATGTGATTGGTGTCCATCTGTCCTCACCTTTCCCCCACACGTACAAAGTTTCCCATTGGAGTCCCCAGTGACCACATCCCCATTCTCAGCGAATGCCACACACAGGACGAAGCGTGGCTTCTCGTATTTTTCTGTGGAGGGAAATCATCATTAGTGTCACAATCTAGTGCCGGTTGGAGATCATTCGATGGTTCTTTCCTGTGTCCATCTACTATCAGGATTCAAGAGGGAGGGTTCCAGAGGGAGGATTCAAGAGGGAGGGTTCAAGAGGGAGGGTTGCAGAGGGAGGGTTCCAGAGGGAGGGTTCCAGAGGGAGGGTTCCAGAGGGAGGGTTCCAGAGGGAGGGTTCCAGAGGGAGGATTCAAGAGGGAGGATTCAAGAGGGAGGGTTGCAGAGGGAGGGATCCAGAGGGAGGGATCCAGAGGGAGGGTTGCAGAGGGAGGGTTTCCAGAGGGAGGGTTCCAGCCAACACTGCAGCTGAACGTTCCCTCAAAATCCAGAACTGAGGAATTACCGCGGCCATCCATCTAAATATACTAGTTCCCAAGCTGCCATCGTTCCTTCTCTGAATATACTAGTTCCCGGGCCACCATCGTTCCTTCTCTAAATATACCAGTTCCCAGACCACCATCGTTCCTTCTCTGAATATACTAGTTCCCGGACCACCATAGTTCCTTCTCCTAATATAACAGTTCCCAAGCTGCCATCGTTCCTTCTCTGAATATACTAGTTCCCGGGCCACCATCGTTCCTTCTCTAAATATACCAGTTCCCAGACCACCATCGTTCCTTCTCTGAATATACTAGTTCCCGGGCCACCATCGTTCCTTCTCTGAATATACTAGTTCCCGGGCCACCATCGTTCCTTTGAATATACCAGTTCCCGGGCCACCATCGTTTCCTTCTCTGAATATACTAGTTCCCAGGCCACCATTCCTTCCTTTGAATATACCAGTTCCCGGGCCGCCATCGTTCCTTCTCTGAATATACCAGTTCCCAGGGCCACCATTGTTCCTTCTCTGAATATACCAGTTCCCCAGGCCACCATCGTTTCCTTCTCTGAATATACTAGTTCCCGGGCCACCATTGTTCCTTCTCTGAATATACTAGTTCCCGGGCCACATGAATATACTTCCTTCTTCTCTGAATATACTAGTTCCCGGGCCACCATCGTTCCTTCTCTGAATATACTAGTTCCCGGGCCCGCCATCGTTCCTTCTCTGAATATACTAGTTCCCCGGGCCACCATCGTTCCTCTCTGAATATACTAGTTCCCAGGCCACCATCGTTCCTTCTCTGAATATACTAGTTCCCCAGGCCACCATCGTTCCTTCTCTGAATATACTAGTTCCCGGGCCACCATCGTTCCTTCTCTGAATATACTAGTTCCCAGGCCACCATCGTTCCTTCTCTGAATATACTAGTTCCCGGGCCGCCATTGTTCCTTCTCTGAATTACTAGTTTCCCGGGCCACCATCGTTCCTTCTCTGAATTATACTAGTTCCCGGGCCCCATCGTTCCTTCTCTGAATATACTAGTTCCCGGGCCCACCATCGTTCCTTCTCTGAATATACTAGTTCCCAGGGCCACCATCGTTCCTTCTCTGAATATACTAGTTCCCCGGGCCCACCATCGTTCCTTCTCTGAATATACTAGTTCCCGGGCCACCATCGTTCCTTCTGGAATATACTAGTTCCCGGGGCCGCCATCGTTCCTTCTCTGAATATACTAGTTCCCGGGCCACCATCGTTCCTTCTCTGAATATACTAGTTCCCGGGCCACCATCGTTCCTTCTCTCTGAATATACTAGTTCCCGGGCCACCATCGTTCCTTCTCTGAATATACTAGTTCCCGGGCCACCATCGTTTCCTTCTCTGAATATACTAGTTCCCAGGGCCACCCATCGTTCCTTCTCTGAATATACTAGTTCCCGGGCCACCATCGTTCCTTCTCTGAATATAACTAGTTCCCGGGCCGCCATCATTCCTTCTCTGAATATACTAGTTCCCGGGCCGCCATCGTTCCTTCTCTGAATATACTAGTTCCCGGGCCACCATCGTTCCTTCTCTGAATATACTAGTTCCCAGGCCACCATCGTTCCTTCTCTGAATATACTAGTTCCCGGGGCCCCCATCGTTCCTTTGAATATACCAGTTCCCAGGCCACCATCATTCCTTCTCTGAATATACTAGTTCCCGGGGCCCGCCATCATTCCTTCTCTGAATATACTAGTTCCCGGGCCGCCATCATTCCTTCTCTGAATATACTAGTTCCCGGGCCGCCATCATTCCTTCTCTGAATATACTAGTTCCCGGGCCACCATCGTTCCTTCTCTGAATATACTAGTTCCCAGGCCACCATCGTTCCTTCTCTGAATATACTAGTTCCCGGGCCACCATCGTTCCTTCTCTGAATATACTAGTTCCCGGGGCCACCATCGTTCCTTCTCTGAATATACCAGTTCCCGGCCACCATCGTTCCTTCTCTGAATATACTAGTTCCCGGGCCACCATTGTTCCTTCTCTGAATATACTAGTTCCCGGGCCACCATCGTTCCTTCTCTGAATATACTAGTTCCCAGGCCACCATCGTTCCTTTGAATATACCAGTTCCCCCCCCGGGGCCGCCATCGTTCCTCCTTCTCTGAATATACTAGTTCCCGGGCCACCATTGTTCCTTCTCTGAATATACTAGTTCCCAGGCTACCATGTTGAGATCCACTGGCATCAGTACTGGGCTCTGACATTACTTTCCCGCCTTCATGTTTTTTTGTCAGAAAGCCAGGGAACTAGCATTTTCAGACGTCATCAGCAATGATGGCCCCCATTCTCCTTTACCCTGTAATCTACTGCTACCAGGCTCCATGCAGCTCCATACATGGTCATTGGGGATGTACCTCCTGTGTGTGAATTCCTTACCAATCACAGCCAGACTTTCTCTACAGGGATGAATCTGATTGGAGGAGGCTCATCATACATGGACTCTTTGTATGTGGGAATTCCTCTCCGGCATTATAATGGGAGTTCCCAGATGATGGACAGAAGGTAGGTTGATGGACGGGCGCAGCACATCGACACCTGAATACAATATACAGAGCAGGTGGGCCATGCTCCTTCTACATGTCACAAGGCTTTCTTTTCATGAGTGGGCCTTAGAGCCTCAGTAGGTTGCATCCATTGCCAGTGGCCTTTAGATATTTGGTTTCCCAACTCATTTCTTGTTTGTCTCCGTTAGTACCGTATTCCATGATGCCAATCCTCCAGCTTCTTACCTCAAATACCCCCTGCCTCTTGCTTAGCAGGGCCGTTCCTCCTGTGGCCCCTGCTCCGGTGGCCCCTTCAAGGCTCCAGTAATATAGCTGGGACTTTCCGCAGGTGATAATCAGGTTGGGTTCTGTGGGATGGAAGATGGCGGCCAGCACTGGCTCTGTGGAGCACTGGGAAGGAATGGAGTGTCAGTGGTTTGATGGCGTATTATTTACCATTAGGCCTTATGAATGAGAGTACTTACCTTCACCTCTGTCACCTTCTGCTCACGCTGCCACTGCCACACAGACAAGACGTGGTCCCCAGACTCATCACATGCACACAAATGGCTGCCACCATCCTGTGAGGAGAGGAGATGCTCAAGAATCGCATGGTTTAGGAAAGGGGTGTGGCTACATGGCAGGAACACTTACCGTCTTCGAGAAGCTCAGACAAGTCACTGCCCGGTCAAAATGGCCAACTCCAATGACATGAAGGGTGCAGAGGCTGACCGAGTGCCAGATGCGGACATGAGGGGCCAGAGACTGCGGGAAGAGCACAATACATAAGAATACAGCCCGCTAGAAGACTGTGAGAGGTGTCAGAGATAGAACCGTGACATACATTGTATGTATCCACCTAGAAATATACACTACATTACCAAAAGTATCGGCCCCGGCCTTTCCACGCACATGACCTTTAATGGCCCCCCAGTCTTAGTCCGTAGGGTTCAATATTGAGTTGGCCCCCGCCCTTTCCACGCACATGACCTTTAATGGCCCCCCAGTCTTAGTCCGTAGGGTTCAATATTGAGTTGGCCCCGCCCTTTGCACCTATAACAGCTTCAACTCTTCTGGGAAGGCCGTCCACAAGGTTTAGGAGGGTGTCTATGGGAAGGTTGGACCATTCTTCCAGAAGCACATTTGTCAGGTCAGGCACTGATGTCGGGGAGGAGGATGCACTGATGTCGGGGGAGGAGGCACTGATGTCGGGGGAGGAGGCCTGGTTCGCAGTCTCCGCTCTAATTCATCCCAAAGGTGTTCTATGGGGTTGAGGTCAGGACTCTGTGCAGGACAGTCAAGTTCCTCCACCCCAAACTGGCTCCTCCATGTCTTTATGGACCTTGCTTTGTGCACTGGTGTGCAGTCATGTTGGGACAGGAAGGGGCCATCCCCAAACTCCTCCCACAAAGTTGGGGGCATGAAATTGTCCAAAATTTCACCTTAAGAGTTCCCTTCACTGAAACTAGGGGGCCAAGCCCAACCCCTAAAAAAACACCCCCCACCATAATCCCCCCTCCACCAAACTTTACACTTGGCACAATGCAGTCAGGCAAGTACCGTTCTCCTGGCCACCGCCAAACCCAGACACATCCATCGGATTGCCAGACAGAGAAGCGTGATTGGTCACTCCAGAGAACACGCCCCCACTGCTCTAGAGTCCAGTGGCGGCATGCTTTACACCACGGCATCCACCGCTTTGCATAGCACTTGGTGATGGAAGGCTTGGATGCAGCTGCTCTAGAGTCCAGTGGCAGCATGCTTTACACCACGGTATCCAACGCTTTGCATAGCACTTGGTGATGGAAGGCTTGGATGCAGCTGCTCGGCCATGGAAACCCATTCCATGAAGCTCTCTACGCACTGTTGTTGGGCTCATCTGAAGGCCACACCAAGTTTGGAGGTCTTTAGCTATTGACTCTGCAGACAGTTGGTGACTTCTGCGCACTGTGCACTTCAGCATGCACTGACCCCCGCCCTGTCATGTGACGTGGCCTACCACTTGGTGGCTGAGTGGCTGTTGTTCCCAGTGGCTTCCACTTTGTTATAATCCCACTAACAGTTGAGCGTGGAATATTTAGTAGCCAGGAAATGTCACGGATGGACTTATTGCCCAGGTGGCCACCTATCACGGGACCACGCTTGGAGTCACTGAGCTCCTGAGAGCGACCCATTCTTTCACCAATGTTTGTAGAAGCCGTCTGCATGTCTAGGGGCGTGATTGTATACACCTGTGTCCATGGAGGGGATTGGAACACCTGAATCACATGATACGGTGGGGATTGGAACACCTGAATCACATGATACGGAGGGGATTGGAACACCTGAATCACATGATACGGAGGGGATTGGAACACCTGAATCACATGATACGGAGGGGATTGGAACACCTGAATCACATGATACGGAGGGGATTGGAACATATGAATCACATGATACGGAGGGGATTGGAACACCTGAATCACATGATACGGAGGGGATTGGAACATATGAATCACATGATACGGAGGGGATTGGAACACCTGAATCACATGATACGGAGGGGATTGGAACATATGAATCACATGATATGGGAGGGGATTGGAACACCTGAATCACATGATACGGAGGGGATTGGAACACCTGAATCACATGATTGGAGGGGATTGGAACATATGAATCCAATGACTGGAGGGCGGATACAATACTTTTGGCTATAATGTGTAGGTTCATGGGGAGGTCTCATTGGTGGATTCTGAGGGCCACCATGAAGAGCGTCAGTCTCGAAAGGTTTGCCCTGTGACTTACCTTGCCATCCTGGGAGTTACCAGCCACTTGTCCGCTGGCAATGGTGACGGAGTCTGGGTGGACGGCCAGGCTGTGGGGAGATGGGCAGGCATTATTTCTCACATCAGTAATTGGATGGGCATTGCGTGGAAGTGACCCTGGCTGGAGGCTTGCAGGGCTTACCTTTTGATGTCATCTGTGTGTCCTCGGTAGTGGCGTTGGGTGCCGGCCACGGGGTCATACAAGACGCAGACCGCAGCTGTAAAGTACAGCAACTCTCCCGATGGCAGGATGAAGAGGTTACTGCGACAATCCCGACCTCTGTACCCGTATCTGTGTACACCTCTGGTTAAGGACTACGGACAGACATCCACCATAGGGACGTGGACGTGGTGGAGAGGACGTGGTGGAGAGGACGTGGTGGAGAGGACGTGGTGGAGAGGGACGGCGTGGGGCAATGGTCACATATACAGGAGTCAGAGGACGTGTTACAGGGAAGGATACACCCATTCCAGCTGCAGCTCTCGTGTTGGAGGTTCTCCTTTGGCTTCTATATTGTATGAGGCCACCAGAGAATCGGGAACATATAGGGGGACGGAGCGACCCCTCAAATACAGCTTCACCACTCCCTCTTCTACATGGAGAAAGGAGGAAAGAAGTCAGATATTGCTGCATACAATGATTGCTGCCATAATACACACCATTCATCCAACATGGAGGGTCTCATGTCCAGTCTGAAGCCCCGTGGGTGGTGGCACAGTGAGAGGGGTACCAGATCTTTTCCTTTTAATATGTATTTGTAGGATGTTTTGTGACCTTTCCTTCCATGGGGATGAACCGTACCACGTGTACCTGGCACATGCACTACACTGGGGTGACACGCTCTAACATGCAGAGGGCACGAGGTGACTCCCAACATCCAGATAACATCTAAGAAAACACTCCTGAGGAGGAACCATGAAACCTGCAGCACAGGTGGGAAGGAGATCTGGTACAGGGGTCATCTGTGGACATGGTGGGATGGAGATCTGGTACAGGGGTCATCTGTGGACATGGGGGGGGGGGGGGGGGAAGGAGATCTGGTACAGGGGTCATCTGTGGACATAGTGGGAAGGAGATCTGGTACAGGGGTCATCTGTGGACATAGTGGGAAGGAGATCTGGTACAGGGGTCATCTGTGGACACGGTGGGAAGGAGATCTGGTACAGGGGTCATCTGTGGACCGGTGGGAAGGAGATCTGGTACAGGGGTCATCTGTGGACACGGTGGGAAGGAGATCTAGTACAGGGGTCATCTCTGTGGACACGGTGGGAAGGAGATCTGGTACAGGGTCATCTGTGGACACGGTGGGAAGGAGATCTGGTACAGGGGTCATCTGTGGACACGGTGGGAAGGAGATCTGGTACAGGGGTCATCTGTGGACACGGTGGGAAGGAGATCTGGTACAGGGGTCATCTGTGGACACGGTGGGAAGGAGATCTGGTACAGGGGTCATCTGTGGACATGGTGGGAAGGAGATCTGGTACAGGGGTCATCTGTGGACACGGTGGGAAGGAAATCTGGTACAGGGGTCATCTGTGGACACGGTGGGGAAGGAAATCTGGTACAGGGGTCATCTGTGGACACGGTGGAAAGGAGATCTGGTACAGGGGTCATCTGTGGACACGGTGGGGAAGGAGATCTGATACAGGAGTCATCTGTGGACATGGTGGGATGGAGATCTGGTACAGGGGTCACCTGTGGACTGGTGGGAAGGAGATCTGGTACAGGGATCATCTGTGGACATGGTGGGAAGGAGATCTGGTACGGGGATCATCTGTGGACATAGTGGGAAGAAGATCTGGTACGGGGTCACCTGTGGACATGGGGGGGGGGGGGCAGGAGATCTGGTGCAGGGGTCATCTATGGACATGGTGTGAAGGAGATCTGGTACAGGGGTCATCTGTGGATATGGGGGGGGGGGGGGGGGGGAAGGAGATCTGGTACAGGGGTCATCTGTGGACATGGGGGGGGGGGGGGAAGGAGATCTGGTACAGGGGTCATCTGTGGACACGGTGGGACGGAGATCTGGTACAGGGGTCATCTGTGGACATGGTGGGAAGGAGATCTGGTACAGGGGTCATCTGTGGACATGGGGGGGGGGGGGGGGGGGGGGAGATCTGGTACAGGGGTCATCTGTGGACATGGGGGGGGGGGGGGGAAGGAGATCTGGTACAGGGGTCATCTGTGGACACGGTGGGGCAGAGATCTGGTACAGGGGTCATCTGTGGACACGGTGGGACGGAGATCTGGTACAGGGGTCATCTGTGGACACGGGGGGGGACGGAGATCTGGTACAGGGGGTCATCTGTGGACATGGTGGGAAGGAGATCTGGTACAGGGGTCATCTGTGGACATGGGGGGGGGGGGGGGGGGTGAAGGAGATCTGGTACAGGGGTCATCTGTGGACACGGTGGGAAGGAGATCTGGTACAGGGGTCATCTGTGGACACAGTGTGGGAAGGAGATCTGGTACAGGGGTCATCTGTGGACAAGGGGGGAAGGAGATCTGGTACAGGGGTCATCTGTGGACACAGTGGGAAGGAGATCTGGTACAGGGGTCATCTGTGGACATGGTGGATGGGATCTGGGTACATGGGGTTATCTGTGGACACACGTGGGAAGGAGATCTGGTACAGGGGTCATCTGTGGACACACGGTGGGAAGGGGGTACAGGGGTCATCTGTGGACATGGTGGGAAGGATCTGGTACAGGGGTCATCTGTGGACACGGTGGGAAGGAGATCTGGTACAGGGGTCATCTGTGGACACGGTGGGAAGGAGATCTGGTACAGGGGTCATCTGTGGACACGGTGGGAAGGAGATCTGGTAATATACAGGGGTCATCTGTGGACACGGTGGGAAGGAGATCTGGTACAGGGGTCATCTGTGGACACGGTGGGAAGGAGATCTGGTACAGGGGTCATCTGTGGACACGGTGGGAAGGAGATCTGGTACAGGGGTCATCTGTGGACACGGTGGGAAGGGGAAGATCTGGTACAGGGGTCATCTGTGGACACGGTGGGAAGGAGATCTGGTACAGGGGTCATCTGT